CTCTTAAAAGTCTACCAGAATTAATGAGCAAGATTAGTAAAACTGTAGAAAACAAGATCAATATGAAAATTTAATTGTATTATATAAACAATAAATCATCTGACAATAAAATTAAAATCATTTCATTTAAAATAGCTTAAAACTAATAAAATACTTAGGAATACACTTAAAAATATGCATGAACTGTACATGGACTACTACAAAGCACTGCTGAGAGAATTGAGATAGATCTGTGTAAACTGAAAATATGCCATGTTTATGGATCAGAAGTCTCAATATTTTAAAAATGACCCTTCTCACCAAATCAATCTATAGACTCAATGCAACACACATACCCAGAAACAATGCTTTATCAGCTACTGAGGCATCCATCAATCTACTCAAGTTGACACCTAATATTAACCATCATACTACCCATTTGACAACCCAAATATATAAGTCAAGATTATGTGGTATTTGCTTAAATATAGATATTAATCAATAGAAGAAGATACGGGTCTAGAAACAAATCCTTATATTTATGGTTAATTGATTTTTGACAATGGTTCCAAGACACTTCTATGAGGGATGTATAGGTTTTTTTTTTGTTTTTTTCTTGAGATGGAGTTTTGCTCTTGTTGCCCAGGCTGGAGTGCAATTGTGTGATCTTGGCTCACCACAATCACCACCTCCTGGGTTCAGGCAATTCTTTTGCCTTAGCCTCAGACATGTACCACCAAGCCTGGCTAATTTTTTGTATTTTTAGTAGAGACGGGGTTTCTCCATGTTGGTAAGGCTGGTCTCAAACTCCCAAACTCAGGTGATCTGCCCGCTTCGGCCTCCCAGAGTGCTGTGATTACAGGCATGCACCACTGTGCCTGGCCTATCGTTTTTTCTAACAACTAGTAACATTTGTATAACATATGCAACAAAAATGACCTTAGACCTCTACCCCACACCCTGATCAGAAAGTAACCAAAATGTATCTAGTTAAGAGCTAACACTTTTAGAAGAAAATATTGAAGAGAAGGTTTTTAATTTTGCATAGGCAAAAGTTTCTACATATGGCACCCAAAACACAATATAGAAAATTAACAAATTAGACTTTTATCAAAATTAAAAGTTTTGCCTTTGAAAAGTCACCTTTAAGAGAAATAACAGATTCTGAAAAAACATTTGCAAATTATTTATCTGATTAAAGAGTTGTATTTAGAAAAAAGAACTCTTACAACTTAATAGTAAGAAGACAACCCAATTTAAAATGAGGCAAAAGAATTTAATAAACATTTCATCAAGAAAATATATGAATGACTAATAAGACATCATAGCATGGACAATACCATTAGCCATTAGGGAAATGCTAATTAAAGCCTCAATGGTATATACCACTAGAATGACCATAATAAAAAAGACGAACAATACTAAGTTTTGTGAGGCTGTGGAATAAGTAAAATCCTCACACACTGCTGGAGGCCATATAAAATGGTACATCCACTTTGGAAGGCAATTTGGCAGTTTCATTCAAAGCTAAACACATATTTATCACATGACTCAGCAAGTGTACTACTATGTATCTATGTAAACAAAAGAAATAAAAATGTATGTCTACAGATTTGAAAGATAATGTTCATACTAGCATTATTTATAATGAACCCAAACTGGAAATAATTCAAAGGTCTATCAACTGGTAAAAGGATAAAGAAAAGATGGTATATCCATACTATGGAATACTATTGAGCGATAAAAAGGAAGAAACAACTGATACATAGCACAATGTGGTTTAATCTCAAATGCATTATACTAAGCAAAAGAAGCTAGATACTAAGGATTATATGGTGTATGACTGCATGTAGCTGAAATTTCTAGAAAAGGCTAAACTACAGAGATAGAAACTATGCTATAAAGACAGATTGAAGGTTGTTTAGAGGTCTGCGTGGGGGAGGGAATTACTGTATTTGGATTTAGATTGATAGAGATATTCTAAAACTGGATCGTGGAGATAGTTATATAATTGTATACATTTACTAAAAATCATCATACTGTGCACTTTTCATGGGTACATTTTTATTTTATTTTATTTTTATTAAAGATGCTATTTTCCTTAGTATGTTTATTGGGCCCCTTTTCACTAATAATATATTTGGATTAGTGACTTTAAAAATAAATTTTTTATAATAATTTATAAAAAAAAATTTTAATTCAAGGAACAAAATTAAGGAGAATTAGGGGAACCTAGATTTTTTTCATAAAATGATATTGAGCAATATGTGGATATAACTATATTTTCCCTGAGAATTTAAATAAAATTATTTATTATTATTACCTTTTATTTTCTTGAATAAAGTTCTGTGTAATGTCAAATTGTAATTTGATAATAAAAATTACCTTCAGAAAATTTCTCTGAAGGTTTCTTTTCTCTAATAATTATCATTTTAAAAGTAAAAAAGCTTGTACTTTATTGCTATTTGTCAATAATTAAACTTCAAATGAAATAGGATCTTGATTGTAAATAGCTAGATACCATCTTATTCCTGTCTACATTTTGCATTTTAAGACAAAGATTTGCAATTAATCTTGCAATTAGAGGAAGTTGCCCTGCCTATCTATGAAAGAGATATTTTTTATGAGTAGGAAATAATTTAACAATTAAGAAGAAACAGTCATGGGAATTCTGAGAGGTCTTGGGAAGACACTGCCTGAAAAGTGCCTAAAATGAACAAGACCCCCGTAATATCTTTTAAAAATTAAACTAACTTTTGATCTCGTTGCTTTTGTAAGCAGAAAGCAGGAAAAACTTATATCTATAATATTAACCATCGGTATTTTTCACTGTTAAAGCCAGAGAAGAAAATTAAAAAGAAAACATGCTTTGGGAGATGTCAATGAGGCACAGAAGCAAGAATGCAGAAAGCATCATTCTGTGCTAGCAGCGGACCCCAGGGGATGTTCCAAAGGAGGGGTGCTGTTGGCCTGGAGCCACCCTTCTCCCAGCACTCCCCTAAACCATCCATTGCTGGAGTTCCCTGCACCAGGGTCTGCCCCCCACTGGCCAGCGCTGCCCCCACCCCTGCTCTCCCCCTGTCTCTCAGAGAAAACAGGACCATCTGATGCTTGCTGCCATGACATGCCCACTGCCTCAGCTTCCAAAATGACCATTTGAAGCTCCTCTTTATTCTTTTTTTGCCTTAGTGACCCTTTCCACCTAGTGTTATGAGAAAAGCAATCAAAATAATCAATGATAAAAAATAAAAAGTCTTTATATTCCTGAGGCATTTACATTTTAAAACATTAACCTGGTATAAGGAAAATGTCAGGTAGACAGCAATGGCTCAATGAGAATTATTCTTTTTACTTATCCTTTGGATTCTTTCTTTATTGGTTTGTCCAAATGCATTACCTCCTTCAACTAAATCATAGCAAGCTGTTCAACTGATTCTGTCTTGCACTCCCTGAACACAGATGCTGGAGGGAAAAGCGTGCAAGGGTGAAGGTGAGCACCGGTATCCTTCAGCAAACCATACTCACGGACTCATGATGTGATAAGTTCAATATTATCCTTCCAAGGAATTCCACCCCAGGGGTAGAATTGATGGCAACCTGCCATATCCATTGGAAGATTTGTGGGGACCTTTCATGGTTCCTCAACATCATCATGCCCACACTGCCTACCCTCAAGCTCAGCCCACCGTAGCCCCTAGGTTAAACAGTCCACAGACAGTTACTGAGTACACCTCTATGCCAGGTCCTGGAACCACCAGGGTCTTAGGTGCTGGAGATGAGCAGGTGAATATGACAATCCAGGGCCTTTAGGGAGCACAGTCTGTCAAAGCAAAAGACTGTCAAAGCTACGTTCTGTCCCGTGCAAAGTATAAACAGCCTTGGAAAGGTTTCTTGCTTTCTAGCCTTGTAAATTTGAGCATACCGTCAACAGTTTCAGAGGCTCCATTGTCTGTACCTAAACGTGGAATCAGCCTCTTTGATTGGGAGAGAACACCTTTTATTCTACACAATTGACACTTAATGAAGAGCAGGCCTATAATTATAAGTCTCTCAGACAAAGCTGGGGGCAATCAAACAGCAGTTGCGGCGGTTTACGTTTAACCTGACTTTTTTTTTTTTTTTTTGAGAGAGTATCGCCCTGTTGCCCACGGCTGTAGTACAGTGGCACCATCTGGGCTCACTACAACCTCAACTTCCCGGGTTCAAGAGATTCTCCTGCCTCACACTCCAGAGTAGCTGGGATTACAGGCGGGTGCCACGCCTGGCTAATTTTTTGTATTTTTAGTAGAGATGGGGTTTCACGGTGTTAGCCAGGATGGTCTTGATCTCCTGACCTCGTGATCCGCCCACCTTGGCCTCCCAAAGTGCTGGGATTACAGGCGAGAGCCACCGCGCCTGGCCTAACCTGACCTTTTTATTAACTACCCTTAACCACCAAAGCGTGAGGGGGATCAATATTATTATCCACAGTGTATGGGACCTGAGATTCACAGAAATTTAATCTAGTCCCTCAAACCAGTGCTAGAATTTAGCTATTCTCCCAAATGTTTGGAATGAGAAGTTTTGCTAAAAGCCTTACTTGCAAATCAAAGAAGGAGGTACACATGGTGGGAAAGTCAGGTCCACAGGATTTTGGTTAGGAAAAAAATCTGAAAACTAAAAATCTTTCCGATGTACCCACTCATTACCTTGTACTCTGATCTGACATGCGTGACTCTGACAGTGCGCTGCTGCAGCTGCAGGACCGCGGGACGCGCGGGTCACTTTGTCCCCCCTGAAGGGGCGAGTTCCGGGCAGAGGCGGCGCCACCGCCCTCTTTGCGAAGGAGGTCTGTGTTTCTCCCTCCTCTCCGCGCCGCGCCTGCATCCTGCACTATAAGTAGCGCGGGCCTGAGACCTCCTTCCAGAAGTTCTCCAGCGCTCCGGCAGAGGGGGTTTCTCGCTGCCTGGGGCTGCAGCGCGGGAGAGCTCGGGCCGGAGAAGACTCAGCGCCTGGCGGTCTGACAGCGCCCTCTCGCCCAGGTGCCTCCGCGCGTGGGGAGAAGCTGCACCAGGTGGCGTCAATGAAGCGCAGCCTGAAGAAGATGTGGCGCCCTGGAGAAAAGAAGGAGCCCCAGGCCGTGCTCTATGAGGATGTGCCGAACGACACGGACGACTGCAAGGAATCGCTTAAGGTACCCTGGGCGCTCGGGGGTCCGGACGGGTTCCGACCTCGGGGCGGGTCGGGGTCGGCTGGCGGTTTCCTTGCGGTCAGCCCTTGGTTTGGAGGAGTGTTCGGGGTGGGGTGTGCACAATCCAAGAGGAGACCCCGCTAATGACGCGCCGGCACAGCGCCTGCTTTATCTATTTTGTTTGCTTATTTGTCCAGTCTATGCTCCTAGATGGGCAACTGCCGTCCAGGGAAACCTACTTCAAAAGTATCTGTATCACTTGGCACAAGATCGGGCAGCTGCCTAAAATCAGGACAATTTGGACTCTGAGCCGTTTCACTTGGAGCATTTTGTAGATTTTGTTTAGAACCAAATAGCCGAATGACTGTATCTGATAGCCGTTGGAAAACTATTTAAGTTTTGGGGGTTGAGAAGTCTTCTGGTCTAACAGAGTGAAACAGAGAAACCAAGTGTCTGCACAAAATGCTTTGCCGAAAATGTTCCCAGTAAAACCGAGGCAGGAGTGGCGAATTCCTTCTCCAGGAATTCAATAGTACCTTGTGAGCATCTGAACCTAGTACTTCCTCTAACGAGTGTGGAATTGGGTTATTGTTGACAGCACATCGCTGAACAGATCTCCCAAGCTGCTCATTCTGGCACTAGGGAATGGGCAGCATAATCGCTTTATTAGGCAAAGAGTGTATCAAATTCAAGTGCCAGAATGGTTCGAAATAGATTTATATCATCACTTTCTTTGAAAGGATGAGACATGGAAAAAGACCCTGCTTCCGCAAGAACCCTATTTTAAATTTGTAACAGAATATGTGTAAATCTAGAAGTTGTTGGATGCTCATTGTCATATCCTGTAGTCACTAAACTTATATGTAGCTTATATGGAATTTTTTTTTTTAGTTAAAAAGTAATACATCTCAATTTAAGAGACTACCGTAGATGAGTGACTTGTTAGGTACTATTCTGTAATAACAGAAGCAAAAGTCAAAGTTCAAAAATTTCAGAAATTATGTTTTATTATTCCAATCTGACATTCGCTGAATAAATTCTAATATTGTAAACTCTTAGTCGTATTAAGATACATTAAATACTTTAATACTTCATTTTAACTGATCATTCCTTTCAGTAGTGAGAAATGCTCTAGTTATCCTTAAAATAACAAACTGGAGTTTTGGCATATGTTATCATGTGACATATGTAAATAGTTATGGTCAATGGCAGAATTAAAGCAAGTATCGGAATCATTTGTTTGGGGAAGATTTCTGCATTTCCTTTGCAACAAGGAAGAAAGGCCTTTATATCTAAGCATATATGAATTTATGATCATGATCAAAAAATAAAACATTTATTTTATATACTGATCAATCTTGGGGCATTTTCTCATACCTTCTTTGTAAACATTTTGTGTATTTCAAGAAAAATATTTACCTCATTATAAGAATGATAGTTTGTGACAATAAAAAGTTCTTTCAAACTATAAAATATTTAACTTTATATCCATAAGTTTTGCATATACTTGTTTGATATAATGGTTTTTAAATACCTCTAGGTGGTTTTTGAAGGAAGTACATGTGGATTACAAAACTTTAAGAATCAAAAGATATTAAACAGATGTAACAATGTGGACATCTCTTTGCATTATGCTGCAGCAAAAGGCCAAGTTGAGCTAATGGAGAAGATCACCAGAGATTCCTCTTTTGAAGGTAACAAAATATCTTCCAGAAATCATTCATCTCATTCAATTCACTGGGAAGAGTGGAATGGATTGATTCTAAGGGTAATTAGGGCCAATTATAAAGAGCCTGTGTAATTCACTTAGAAGTGTGGGTTTTTCCTACACATCAGCACTCCTCAACTTCTTCTACTGAAATACTGCAAAGAATATTGCAGAGATCTAGGAAACCCCACAACAAGCACAGACTTTATTAGAATTTTTACATAGACTGTAAAAATGCATACACATTTAATGTACTCTTTTATATGATTTCCAACTGAGGTTATATTTAAATTATTATCATTAAATAAAATTGACACTTCAAGAAGGTGTACCATTCTCCCTCAGTGATGTTTTCCAGATGCCAGCCTTGACCACTGTACCTTGTTTAAGAAATTCAAGTGCAGACAATGAGGGAGGTAGATGCCACAGAGGTGGAGGCAGTGGGTGGTGTGATAAGACCTTTGCTACATAAGATAATTCTATCAATATTGTGGAAGGCGGATTAGAAGTGGAAGCCCAGCTAAAAAGCTATTTGGGTAATAAGGAGAAGATAAGAGTTCACCAGGGTTGTAAAGCTACAATAAGGAGACAGGGAGAGTTTCCAGAGATATTGGCATGTAAAGTCAACAGTGGGTGACAGCAGAGTAAACGGGAAGAGAAAGGAGCAGGGAGTTGGAACTGACTTTGAAATTAATAATATAATCATCCCCCCAAAGGAGGAATATGAGAAAACAGAAAAGAGGTGAGTGTGAAGATGTGAGCTTTGGTCACAGTGAGTTTGAAAGGCCCAGGGTACATCCACTAGGAAATAGCCAGCAACAGAAATGTGGAAGGAACGAGGCCGCCCTACGCATGATTGTATAGGAAGTCGCTCAGACAGTGGAAATGTGTGAAAATCCTTTAGGGGATTACAAAATTGCTAGCAAAAGTAGATAAGAGTAGAATGCCAACATTAAGAGAGAGAGAGCACAGGAAAAGCCATAAAAAGATGAAGAGAGTGAAAATACACAAGCTATGGGCAAAGTTACTGCGATAGAAGAGTTAGAAGAAACTCTTGCCACAAAGAGATCAAGTAGGAAGGAGATCATGATAAAGCTCCTGCATTAGAAGGCCCCGGTGACCTCTGTAAAACTGATTTCTGAAATGTGGTGAGGATAAAAGCCAAATTCAAGTTACTTATTTAGTGAATGGGAGTTTTTAAGTATAGAGCCCTGTTTAAGGTTGGTGCCAAATGGAATGAATGATGAATGGAGTGATTCTTCTTGATCAGATAAAACGGTCAAGGGGTGTGTGTGTGTGGTTTAGAATGAAGCACTTAGATGAATGAAAGGAAATAGTAGAGAGATACATTTTAAAAAGGAGAGAAACAGAAAGCATGGCTATATGGTTCCAAGTATCATAGATGTTCCCCAAATCATATTTATGAGCAATTTTTTTCTTTTCCTGACATAAAGATATACTGCCACTAATTTACAAAGCTGATAAAGCAGACAGCCATGTCTATTTTAGAATAACTATATGACTTTGCAGGATGAAAGGACATATTACTTATATGCTGAGCTCACAGGGTAAATAGTGCCATGGATCATATTGTAGAAATACGTGGAAACCACATATGGCATCAGGGGCTCAAGCTCAAATTCTAGTTCTGTGTTTTATTTGTGGTGTATCTTTTTTTCTCATTAACATTTTTTAAACCATTGCTACAGGCCAGGCACTCTGCTGTGATCCTTAAAGACATGTTTTAGGCCGGGCGCGGTGGCTCACGCCTATAGTCCCAGCACTTTGGGAGGTGGAGACGGGTGGATCACAAGGTCAAGAAATCAAGACCATCCTGGTCAACATAGTGAAACCCCGTCTCTAGTAAAAATACAAAAATTAGCTGGGCATGGTGGCGTGTGCCTGTAGTTCTAGCTACTCAGGAGGCTGAGGCAGAAGAATTGCTTGAACCCAGGAGATGGAGGTTGTGGTGAGCCGAGATTGTGCCGTTGCACTCCAGCTTGGGTAACAAGAGCGAAACTCCATCTCAAAAAAAAAAAAAAAAAAAAAAAGACATGTTTTAATATTATTGTCCCAGAACATTGCAGCATTGCAAGGTCTCTCTATATATATTTCTTTCTCTCTCTTTCTCTCTCTCTCTCTCTCTCTCTCTGTGCAGGTATATGAATATATGGTTTAAAATTTTTTTAAAAATTTTTTACCAAGTTTGAATACAAGGAAGCTGAGGTTCATACGACTTACTAGCACTGTGATGTTGGCAAGACTTTTAACCTCTCTGGACCTCACCATCTTACTCCTTCTGAAAATTTGTCATGGTGGTACCTTGCAGGCTGTTGGAGGCTTGACTGAAATAATGGTCATGTGAACTCAGCAGAGTGCCTGGGACATAGTTATTGCTTTTATGTAATCCCAATATTTTACCACAATCCCAAACTCATTTAGATAAGAACATGTAGCAATAGGAGGATCTATTTCTTATTAATGTTACCCATACAAATTTAACTCAATTGATAATGTCAGTGCCATACTTCTATATGTTCCCACTAGGAACCCATTAAATGTTTCATCAGAACCAAAGCTGTGTTTTTAGTTTCCATAAAGAAGATGCAGCTGATTTCAGTTGCACTTGGCACTGAGTTTTGAGGTGGATTGGCCCTCAAAACGTGTTGAATACAGTCCAAGCAAAACTTAATCCATACTTCGGTTTCTTTTTCTAGTGCTGAATGCAATGGATGATTATGGAAATACCCCTCTGCACTGTGCTGTAGAAGAAAACCAGATTGAAAGTGTTAAGTTTCTTCTCAGCAGAGGAGCAAACCCAAATCTCCGAAACTTCAACATGATAGCACCCCTCCACATAGCTGTGCAGGGCACACACAACGAGGTGATGAAGGTAAGGCTACTGGCCGGCTCCAATGAGCCTGACTGGCAGCACCCATTGGAGCTGGGACCCAAATCCAGCTCTTTCTGTCTGCGCCAGGAGGAGCACCTTCTAAGCTTCCAGGGAAAACAAAAGGCAATTATTACCTTTGCTTTACTTCTCACCAACTATTGATGATGATGATGATGATTAGTTCTGCCTTTATTGAATAGTTCTTATTTACCAAGCATTTTTGTAAGAGGTTTGTGTGTGTTTGTTTATTAAATTCTCATCTAAGCAAACCCACAATGAAGTCTTCTCGTTTCCTAGCTGAGTACACTAAGATGCAAAAAGAATTTGCATAACTTGCCTAATGTCATATCACAAGTAAAAATGCAAGACTAAGGAATTTTGTTTAACAGGAAGATCAGGCTTTATCACTTTTACCTGACTGATTTAATGACTAAAAGGAAGAAGGTAGTGAGATACTCAGTGAAAACAGAAAACGTAATTATGATTCGATGTTTTTGTTAGAATAGGTGCCTGTCAGAAAGATTAGTTAGCAGAAGACATAAGGATACCACTAGGAAACATCTGATTGGTTTTCAAGGCATAAGAGTAAGTTTGGTGAAATAGAGGAAACCTTGGAAAATCGCTTAAGGGTAAGAATTAGGCCATCATTTTTAAACTACATCTCAGAGTCTCTCAAACACACTAGAATACAAACATGCTTGAAGAATGAAGAATCTGCCGGGCATGGTGGCTCATGCCTGTAATCCCAGCACTTTGGGAGGCCGAGGCGGGTGGATCACAAGGTCAAGAGATCGAGACCATCCTGGTCAACATGGTGAAACCCCGTCTCTAGTAAAAATACAAAAAATTAGCTGGGCATGGTGGCGTGTGCCTGTAATCCCAGCTACTCAGGAGGCTGAGGCAGGAGAATTGCCTGAACCCAGGAGGCGGAGGTTGCGGTGAGCCGAGATCGCGCCATTGCACTCCAGTCTGGGTAACAAGAGTGAAACTCCGTCTCAAAAAAAAAAAAAAAAAAAAAAGAATGAAGAATCTAATTTACAAAGGGATCATGTTCCAGGAGTTCATTTGTAAGGTAGGCTGTTTGGAACTTATAATAAGCTTTCTGGCAGAAACAATATCCAACGAGCGCCTTGAGTTTCAGGCTCTCTTTAACCCAAAACCTTTCTCTCAGCCCTCTAAGACCTTGGCTCCTCTAAGTCTGGCATAAAAGGTATGAGAAGAACCACTTTCTGCTTTCCTACTGTACCTTATATGAGACTGTATTAAAATTCTTAACAGGTGATATTGGAATCAATTGTTTATGTACTTTTCTTCCACACTGGCTATTTATGCTTGAGGGAGGAGCTGTGTCTTACTAATTCAAATATCTCTTATTCCTCAGCACTGTGCTGGTAAATGATGGCTACTGAATGAGTGAATGAGTGAATGAATGAATAATTGAGTCAATGGGAGTTCTGTCTGAGAAGAGGAGAGCTGAAATCTCAATACCTGTGAGATGAGTCAGGGTGGCTCCCTGAAGAGGTTACTACAAAATCCTCTGGCAACAAGCTGGTTTTTTTTTTTTTTTTCAAATCTGCATTATTCATGATCCTAGTGCTGTTTCTATATCATCTGGGTTGGGCCACTAATGACTATGGGAAATTTTCCCAGAGATGTCACGTATTTCCTCATGGAGCTCTGTGCTCCCTTGGAAGGATCTTTTCAAGAACAAATGTCTATTAATTAGTAATGGCTCTTAGAATTCGAAGGCAGGTAACTGTTGAAAGCCTATTGTTAATTAGAAAGCAGAAATCTCCAGACCAACAAATACAGAAAGGTAGGTATCACATAGAAATAGAAAATAGAGATCCTAAATGATTCATAAACTTGGTGGTGGACATAAAACAAATTTTCCTGGTGACACCAGAACAAGCAGAAAAGTAGAGTTCTAAGTAAAATGGACTCTCCCTTGCTTGGTCTTACCAGCCACAACTATGTCTGAAAATACTTTCAGACTACTCTGCTTCAGCGGAGATGACAGGAATAGAAGGAAGAGAAGGTGTTTTGGAGTATCTCCCCTCATGCTTGCAAACAGCAGTTCTCTCCACCTGCCTCTCCCAGTTATGCCCGTGGTCTGGCCTGTATCCACCCAGCCCCTATCAGTTTAGAATTTGCCCCATTGACTGCTGCACTAGACTTCCCCCAAATTTTCCCCTACTGCCTATAATGGTTGTAAAGTTAAAAGAAAATTGTCATCTGTACATCACTTCAATTGCTTGCACAAATAACCTATGGGATATTATTATGGTATAATAATCCCTGGGACACATTGGCCTGGGGATTAGGAGGTGGTTTTGTTTCTCAGTGGCCTGCAGGCCCTAGTCCTTTGGGCTTCACTTCAAAGTATTCAGTTGTTTGACCCTTCCATGAGACTTTCCGGATTCTCATCAAAGGGGCCTGCGGAGACCTCACCTCTGAACCTTCCAGACTTGCCTGGTCATGACTGAATTTGAAGTAGGTGGACAGCTTAGTTGCTCTCTCTGGGATCCCTGCCACATATAATTGAACACAGCTTTTCACAGATTGTGCTTTTGGTGGTTTAATAATAACAGCCCAGTAAATGCTACAAATTTATGATCTATGATTCTAAGAGGGCAAAGAGAGAAAAATACCTTCATATAGACTTTGGTAGGTTATTTTTCATGTGAATCTAGAGATTCCTAAAAACAGAATGTGATGGTGTCTAAATTCCATAGAAGGAATCTTATGCTCTCATTTGCCTTAATCCAACAATCATTTCTCCACATATTCTTATGTACTAAAATCTGAATTTAATTTTCTTTTACCAGCACAGCTAATTAGTAAACCTAATTCATTTGCCGACACTCATGTAGGGCATGTTTTGTTAACAAGATGTTCTGACAGGACGTTGTATACTTTTTTTTTTTTAAGAAGTGAAGGTTTTTAAGAAACAGATTATTTAATACATTCTTTTAACATTATTTAATTATAAGGATATATCATCATTTATCATAGTCTTTCTGCAAGTGGAAAAGCTTCTAGGAGGCCAATTAAAAGATTTGATAAGACATTTATATGAGATAATTTTGTTACATTGAATGTAAAAGAAAGACTAGTCAAAGATCTATAGACTCTTTGGGTAATAATCATTGGGCAGTCAACCAGGTGAGGAAGTAAGAGGTCTTCAGTGAAATTCCATCAAAAAATTACTTGACCATTTTTTTCAGGATGCTAATTTCTTGCATTGTAGAGAAAGTTTTCATTCCAGACCAAATATGAATTAAATGAGTTACACCATATACAAAACTTTTCTTTATTGAAGAGAATAGAGTTTCCACTGACACTTCCCAAGATTCTTGTAATCCAGGTAAAAGAAAAATAGCTAGAAGAAAAAAAAATCCCCTTTTGCCTTTCTCTCTCCCTCCTTCTTTCTTTTTTACTTTCTTCCTTCTTCTCTACCTCTCTTCCCCTCCCATCACGAACACATTCTAAACGGCTCCACAAATTTATTTTCCTGAAGATATTAGTTAACGTAACTCTACTTAATACAAGTCAGAAGTATTAAGTGAAACTATGATAACTAGTATCTATCATTCTTATTTTATTTACAATTCCAGAATCAGCATTGCCTGAATTATTATAACATTGAAATCATGATTATTTCATCTAATGGAGAAATTAATTAGTACCCACAGTGTGCAAGATTTTGTGCCAGGTTGTGTGAGAGAAGGATGAATAAAAGATAAGCAGACATGCTCTCTGGCATTTGAGAACTTCAAATCTAGTGGAAGACGACAAGTACCTTATTTGGAAATCTGCAAAAATTTTGATAATTATTCTCCCTTTTTGTTTAGGTCTTGCTGGAGCATAGAAGTATTGACATTAATTTGGAAGGAGAAAATGGAAATACATCTGTGATAATTGCATGCACCAAAAATAATAGTGAAGCACTGCAGATTTTGGTTTGTAATTAGTCATATCTTTCTGCTTTCTTTATCTTCTCATGAAGACAATATGAATTATTATTGTTTACAAAAGCTCTTAAGTTTTTCTCCCTAGAAAAATGTAAAATATAAAAACTGGGTCAGAAAAAAAGTTATTCTGTGTGTTTTTGTGTATGTAGTCACTCCTTAAGTGGATCTGAGATTGCTTATAGAAGATTAACAGCAAAGCTGTAAAGAAAATTATGAGAAAATCAAAGTGAAAAGAAAATACAGCCAGGAAAAATTGAGATGAAGCTGGTGGGCAGGATAGAATGTAAAATACAAAGTACATGGCCTGGATGTTATAAAGATGGATTGTACATATGATTCTGAGCATCTGAATAGTCAAAGGAAAGATGAATATAGTCAGCTGCAGACATATTGGGCCCACAAGAGAAAAGGCAAAGGAAACACAGCTCCCAAGATGTGAAGAAATTATTGCCATATGTTCTCAAAAACAGAGCCCTGCATGATATAATGACAAAGGTTCTTAGCTGTATGCCTAAGAGTAGAGCCAACCTTGTCTCTGGTGAGGCTTCCTGGCATGGTCCAGTGAGGCGATGGAGATACCTGTCTGCTTGACTTCCTCCTGCTTCTGGCAGTGTTCTATCTGAGTGTGCTGTTAGAATCCCAGCAAACAGTCTTTTTTCAATTATCCCTTAATCATGTGCGTGTTATCCAGGCCATGGTCTTCACCATCCCAGAGAGTAAGAAAATAAAATTAAATAATTTAAAAATATTTGCCTGATGTTTAAATGTACCATAAAAATATGTTTTAGCATCTTTACTAGATGGACTTAGAGACAGGTACATCCTCTAAGCTGTCATGATTGGACCACAAAGAGAATAAATGACATAGAGAATAAAAATAAATTAATGAACACTCAAACCAAGAATTTAGGAAAATTAAATTAACCAAAAGAAAATTGGAATAAAGAAATAGTATTGTTGAAAATACTATAGAAAACAATATTTTTAAAAGTCTGGTTTCCTTGCAAATTTAATTTATGTGTATACTGTATGACAGCGTTGTTCAAAAAAGCTTTTACTTAACAATATTCTTAAATAATATGATTTTATAAAGTACAGTTTCAATTTCTGGACTCTCGCTCTCTATATAATTTCTGCAAGATTATATATAAACTGATACTATCTCGAAAAGTTGAGATTAAAGGTAGTATTGGCTGCTTTACACTTTTCTACTTTTTCCTTTTTTTTTTTTTTGAGACAGAGTTTTCACTCATTACCCAGGCTGGAGTGCAATGGTGTGATCTCGGCTCAATGCAACCTCCACCTCCTGAGTTCAAGCCATTCTCCTGCCTCAGCCTCCCTAGTAGCTGGGACTACAGGCTGCGCCATCATGCCCAGCTAATTTTTGTATTTTTAGTAGAGATGGGGTTTCACCATGTTGACCAGGATGTTCTCGATCTCTTGACCTCGTGATCCACCCGCCTTCCCCTCCCAAAGTGCTGGGATTATAGGAGTGACCCACTGCGCCCGGCCTCTACTTTTTCAAAATAATTTTTTTTTTTTTTTTTTTGAGACGGAGTTTCGCTCTTGTTACCCATGCTGGAGTGCAATGGCGCGATCTTGGCTCACCACAACCTCCGCCTCCTGAATTCAGGCAATTCTCCTGCCTCAGCCTCCTGAGTAGCTGGGATTACAGGCATGCACCACCATGCCCAGCTAATTTTTTTTTTTTTTTTTTTGTATTTTTAGTAGAGACGGGGGGGTTTCATCATGTTGACCAGGATGGTCTCGATCTGTTGACCTCGTGATCCACCCACCTCGGCCTCCCAAAGTGCTGGGATTACAGGCTTGAGTCACCGCATCCGGCCCCAAAATAATTTTTTATAGTAATTAGATATACTTAAAACTGAAGGCTAATGATTTCCAGAAAATTAAGAACCTTCATTAGTGAAAATATTTGATTATCATGGTTTAATAAGAGTAGTGGCACATTCATTTATTAATTATGCATAAATAAAGGGAAATAATCTGAGAAATATTATCTCTTTATTTGCATCAGAAACTGAAAATGGTTATAGAAGTAATGATAATGTCTTTAAAAATCTCATCAATCCCACTGAAAAAATGTGTTGACTTTATTTGCTGGGGTATCAAGATTGATTGTTGTTTTTACGTTGTTACTTCTTTGGAAGATATAAAATGTCTGTATTTCAGATTCTTAGCCTACTTCAAGATTACCTTCTTGCCTAGATTTTATCGCATATGAAACTCTCTATGTACTTTTACATAGACATACAATAGTAAAATGATATGGGAGAGGCATGTAAATTCTCATCCACCCTTGTGATTTGGGGTTTAACTAGTGTCATTTTTCATTCTGTTCTTTTCTTCCAGCTTAACAAAGGAGCTAAGCCATGTAAATCAAATAAATGGGGATGTTTTCCTATTCACCAGGCTGCATTTTCAGGTTCCAAAGAATGCATGGAAATACTATTAAGGTTTGGTGAGTAGAGGCTTTTCCATGTGATATACTAGAAATAAGTCTGTTCTGGTGGATGCTATTCATTTGATTTTTTTTTTCAGACTGAGTCTTGCTCTGTTGCCCAGGCTGTAGTGAAGTGGTGCAATCTTGTCTTACTGCAACCTCCGCCTCCTGGGTTCAAGTGATTCTCCTGCCTCAGCCTCCTGAGTAGCTAGAATTATAGGCATGTGCTACCACACTGGCTAATTTTTGTATTTTTAGTAGAGGTGGGGTTTCACTGTGTTAGCCAGGATGATCTCAATCTCGTGACCTTGTGATCCACCCACCACTGCCTCCTATAATACTGAGATTACAGGTGTGAGCCACCACACCCAGACTAATTTGAAAAATATTTAACAGAATTAAACAGAAGCTTTTATGTGTCTCAGTACCCTTTCTTTTTTTTTTTTCCTAATAAAAAACCTCCCTATTGTTCATTTTATATATTTGTTATGTTGAATGTTATTTTCTTCTAAAGGTGAAGAGCATGGGTACAATAGACAGTTGCAGATCAACTTTGTGAATAATGGGAAAGCCAGTCCTCTCCACCTGGCTGTGCAAAATGGTGACTTGGAAATGATCAAAATGTGCCTGGACAATGGTGCACAAATAGACCTAGTGGAGGTAAGTCTTCATATTCTCTACGACACTTTTATCTTAGAATTGTCATAACTGTATAAAAGGCTGTACAGCTCTTTTACAGTTAATTTAGATCGAAATACATACAAGAAATATTATTTCCTTCTGCTGATAAAGAAGCAGAACAAGAAAACACCCCAAGTTTCAATCTGTGTAAAGAATATTGAGAGCTCCCCAAAACAATTGCAGACACAAATACAGACAGAATAAAGAATATATGTCTAGTGCCATTGCCACCAAATCAGTTGAAGCCTCCCCTCAGAAGATAACGTTCAGCCAGGAACATTAAATCCCAACTATGAACGTATTTGGTTTTAGTTCTACTCAGAAGAGCTATCATTTTTAAACTAAGGATCACTTAACTAATTTCTAAGAATAGGTATGTGAAAGTGTTGACTGTGTTTGGGATCTGACCTCATGCCATGCTTCTCTTACCAAAAGTGGAGAGTTTTGGCCCTTTTTCCTTCAATGTCTGAGTTTTGGGTGGCAACAAGCTCCCCTCCAGGATACCGCAAATGCCTGTGTTTTCTGAAGGAAGAGAAGATTAGTTATTAATCTCATGTGGCTTCTGGACACTGATCCTAAGTCCCTTCAATATGGAAATGAAGAGCTGCCTTTGGTGGTATGGAGTCTGAAGTCACTTCATACACTGAGTACTTACAGCAATGAATGAGACACTGCTCTCATGTTCCTGGAGGAAAGAATGACACCCAGACAAAGATGGAGGAAATATTTGCCAAGAGTTGTTATATTAGAAGGAAGCTCAATTGTCAGCTACAATTTGGATATGGATGCTTGTCTTTGCAGGTCCATAAAATCAAGAAATATCTGTCACATTTCAGATGATTAATGATGATCAATCTGATTGATACTCCTTGATTTTATGAACCTGGGAAGAAAAAGCTCACAGCTCAATATAAATTATATTCTTACATTGAGATTTAAACATTGATTCTAGTATTAAAACCCTTTACAGAAGGGGAGGTGCACAGCCCTTCATTTTGCTGCCACCCAGGGAGCCACTGAGATTGTTAAATTGATGATATCGTCCTATTCTGGTGGCATGGATATTGTTAACACAACCAATGGAAGTGGTGAGACCATGCTTCACAGGCAAGTTTCCTACCTGTCATTCTGTATACAGACTTTTTGTCTTCATGTGTTAAATTAGACATTGCAAGGAGCCATTAGCACTAATGCTAGGAAAGATTTTGTGGTTCAAAAGAAGAAAGCAAATATAACAAAGACCCTGTGGATCAACTGGAATCTCGTATGGTCCTTGGGAATGAGAATAGAATGTTAAAGAAATTTCACAGAACAAAGTCACCTGGGGTGTTTTCTGATTCAAGTCCAGTGGATATAGGCTCAAGATTAATTTTCTATATGCTAAAGATGTCTACATACAAGGTCTTCCAAGCCATTTCTAATCTGTTCCAATTTCTCATATTTATTTTATCCCCATTTTTATTGACAAAAATGGAGTAGATACATATGTTTATTTCACCTTTCCCATGCTAATCCTTCTGCTAATCCCCAAATTATAGATAAATGGTTTCAAAGGATATAGTTTCAGGAAATTATAACCAAGTTGCCAAAACAATAACCAATTGATTTGAAGTTTAACAGAAATACACATCAGGCAAAGTGTATTAAAACATAGGCTTACTAGGTTCTGGGACAGAAAATAAGCAGTGTAGACTGGAAATTCAGTTCTTGTGGAAAGATAAGTACTAGATGCTACCCATGTGAGTGAAAGAGGTGTCTGAGGCGAGCCTTCACTCTCTCGGTCTCTTAGACACACACACACACACACACACACACACACACACACACACCACAGAGTCAGTGCTGCCGATATATTTTTAATAAGCAACCAGACCTGGAAATCTACAATATCTCTTAGAAAAAAAGAAAGTCTAGCTACCAATACAAGATCTGTTTCTAATAAATGTACACACTAGCAAAACTACAAGGCACAATAGGATATGTTTGAATAGAATGGAACTCCCACTTAGGATGAATTTGCAAAGTAAAATTTTGTAGCATAAAAGTAACAAAAAATATGAAGTTAACAAAAGGCCAATTTATTTCCAAGAAAATAGAAATAATAGGGCATTCCAAAAAGAATTTTAAAATAAAGATATTTGAGACCTTAAAATTTAAAGGAAGGAATAATCAGTTATGTAAAACTAAATATATGAAGATAACATAAGATTGTGAAAAACAGATTGTCATATATGAATCCAATATTGGTGATACAAAAATGATTCGGTAAAAAAAAGTTAAAAAGGAGTCATTAAAATAAAATGAAAACTTGGTAGACTAACCTCTAGACCAGAGATTCTCAAACTGTTGGATGTTACAATCATGTGGGCAGCTTATAAAATCCCAGTGACAATCTATAAACCTAGAATATATCAAAATCTTTGGGAAGAGTCTCAGGAGTTAAAGAAAAAAAAATTGATTCTAATGTGTCACCAATTTACAAACCCAATGATTAGATTATTATTAAAATGTATCTTTAGAACACAGTCTTAATATATTAATATGCATAACAAGAAATTAGGAAAATGGGGCATTAATGTTAGAATTTGTTCCCTGAAATTACTAAATATAATTAATGTCTTTTAAATATAATGCAATCTCTGGTCAATTTGGGATGAAAATTAGCAAACCGATTCTGAAATTTATGTATAAAAGTCCAAGAATAGCTGAGACAATCTTGAAGAAAAGAAATGAGATTAGTGAAGGGAAAGACATAGTACTGACATTTGTTATGGTGGTGCTTTAATACAGATGGAAAATTTTACCTGCTTTGTAATCAATGTTATTCTTATGACTGTCCGTGAGATGATACCAAAATGTTTCAGTTCTTTCCAGAATTATTTTTGACTTCACAAAAACTCAGAAAAGCCAACACTGCCTTTTAACTTTTGCCAAAGAGGAGTCCCTCAAAGAGGAGGTTTTGAACCCTGCAGATGAATTTAAGGCACACCTTACATGTAGCTGTTGCTATTCCCCATGATCATAGCAATACCAGCGATTCCTTTGTCTTTTCTGTCGTGGGACAAATGTTACTACTCACTTCATAACATCTTCATGGTGATTTTATAGGAGAAAATAGGTTTACTAAAGGATGAGGAAGAAAATATTGTGATGTATTTGGTGTTTCCCTATTATTACTTTGAAAATGCTACCCTAATCAGAATCAAATTACAAATTTTAAAAGCTTACTAATTCTCTAACATTCTATCCTGTTATTCTATGATTGGTTAAATTCACTTTTCAAATATAGTAGCTTTATGAAATACATTTATGTTGACATCAATAGTACTTTAATTATAATATTTATAATTTTGTGTTTTTTTACAGAGCTTCATTATTTGATCACCATGAACTAGCAGACTATTTAATTTCAGTGGTAACTATTCCATTTACTAGTTTATTTTTATTACTATTTATAGTTGAAGAAATCATATAATTATATAATATGGATTTTCAAAAATGAATCAAATTTTTATTTCTTGCATATTAGCAAAAACACTGTACAAAAAGATGACTGACATGCTTGGAAGTAGCGTATATTCTATATGAATACCTAACGGCCAAACATTACTGTGAAGTTAAAAGTATCAAAACATACTTTTGGATATCCATATCTGTGGTTTTAGAGCAGGAAATTTGCGGGTACATTGGAAGGAAAGCTGTTTCCCGTGGTCTGTAACAGGATCTTAAGGGAGTGTGGGCTTGGGCGGTGACCCTTCTTCAGCACTGGTGGCTTTAAGATGGAGGTAGGACAGACAGCACTGGGGAAGCTCCTATCCCAGCTACCTCAGTGCCAACTTTAAAAACTGAGGAGTTGTCAAAGATTTATTATAAGTGAAAGTATGAAGCATGAGATCTTTTTCACTCTGGGAAGTGGCATCAGTCAGCTTTGAGCTGAATTTTAATAAGCCCTTTACACGGATGAACGTTTGGTGAATTTATTTAAGCTACACCATATCAGCAATGATGGATTTCCATTTTTAGTATTGAACATGTGTGTATTGTCAATGATAACTGTTGAAATTATGATAATTACACAGATGAATCCTGGGAGACTCATTATATTCCATAAACTATGCATTATATGCCATAAACCATAAACCATAGTCATGCATGGTTTCCTGCAAAGGCTGCCATCTCTTCACCAGACAGAACTGTGGCAGAGCCTCACCGACCACTATGGAGCTTGCCGGGGATGCTGTTCCCATTGTCGTCTATATTCAATGATCCCCCAAAAGAACAAAGAAATATTCACATTTAGATTTTAAGCTACTTTTATTACCCTATCTAAAATATAGAATTATTTCCATGAAATTTTAAAAAGCCTTTGATTTCTTGTCATATCAAATATTATAATACATAATGGTTAACATTGACTTATTCATTTAAAAAATATATATTTAATGTGATTTTTAAATATAAATTTTATTAATGTTTGTTTAAAATTTTACTTTAGGATTTGAGTGATTTCAATTCAATTATTTCAGTTCATCTATTTCAGATAAAATAGGATTTTATAAAACAAGCAAATGTTTTTTTGTGACCGTTTCTTTCTTTTCTTTTTTTTTTTTTTTTGAGACGGAGTTTCGCCCTTGTTACCCAGGCTGGAGTGCAATGGCGCGATCTCGGCTCACCGCAACCTCCGCCTCCTGGGTTCAGGCAATTCTCCTGCCTCAGCCTCCTGAGTAGCTGGGATCACAGGCACGTGCCACCATGCCCAGCTAATTTTTTGTATTTTTAGTAGAGACGGGGTTTCACCATGTTGACCAGGATGGTCTCGATCTCTTGACCTCGTGATCCACCGGCCTCGGCCTCCCAAAGTTCTAGGATTACAGGCGTGAGCCACTGCACCCAGCAGTGACTGTTTCTTAAATCATATGTGCAATTAATTTGGAAGCCTTTTAGAATTGTAGACATTTAAAAATTATTTCTTACAGTGGAAACTAAACAATTGATCCAAGTAAAAGGATATTATTTTTATGATTCAAGTAGTAACTAGAGCTATTACCAGGTGTCTTTAAAAAGTCTAATATATGGTAATAGTTTCTTGTTGAAATTATAAAAGTCCTTGATTTCTGTTGATACAACATGTGAATTATGGAAAAATTTCAAATCATTCTATAATTAGCCATATGCATTGGTGCTAGCCATAATATAGACACTCTATCAATGAATTACCATTAGTTAGATATTTCAATATGCTGAATTATCTGTTTCTAAACTCTTTGTTGAATGACTTGTTTGATTTTTAGGGGGCAGATATTAATAGAATCGATTCTGAAGGACGCTCTCCACTTATATTAGCAACTGCTTCTGCATCTTGGAATGTTGTAAATTTGCTACTCTCTAAAGGTACTAAGAGGTCTTTGGAAGTACTACTCAATTTGGTTAGATGAACACTCATAGTATACCAAATGAACATTCATTGTCTGCCACCATCTATTGTGTGTCAGGCCCTGGCCAGGTGCTGTGAATACAAAGATAAGCAGAACACTTTTCATGTCTAGAATAATTTTTAGTTCAGTAAGGGAGAAATTTTTGAAAAGATAATTTCAGAACAATAGGTAACATTTATAAAGCAATTGTTATGCCCCAGGCATTTGCCAAACCTTTTTAATCAACCTTCTTTCAATGTATCAGTCCTATGTGATGTAGGAACTATAACTATCCCCATTTTAGATTCTAACCTGGGCCTCTGATAAGAAAGAAGTGAGGTGTTCTTCTCTGTTATTCTCTTCTTTCTTTATCGCTAATGTTTCTATATTTATATTTTATGCTTTAAAAAGTAAGGCCTCATGTACTAATGTAATGTATCACATATTTTCTATATCACTGACACACAGACACAGTGTAAGGTAAACCCATTTTTAAATATGTTTAGTTTTCTCATCTAAACACGATTTCCTGTAAACTAAAGGCCAACAATGTTTTAAGTCAAAATTTTTTTGGTAAGTTGAAAATCCACATAAATAATGCTTTAAATAAATGAATAGAATTTATATTTACATAGTGATTTTTTTAGGTGCCCAAGTAAATATAAAAGATAATTTTGGACGTAATTTTCTGCATTTAACTGTACAACACCCTTATGGATTAAAAAATCTGCGACCTGAATTTATGCAGGTAATGTATATCTATGGATTTCCATTAACTGAATTGGGTTCAACAGGAAATAAACTACTTTTGTTTATTATAATTTTTGTTATTATGTAAACTGATTCTGGAATTTTAAAAATGTTTTAAAATAAAGATGACATATTTGAATATTTAGTTACAACACAGTGATGGTGGTGGTGATGATGATGATAATTGTATTGAGATTGTTTCATATACAATCATCTATGATAAAGATACACCCTTAATTAGTTCGATTTTCTTCATTCTTTGACCATTATGATTCACATATCAGTGGAAATGCCAAGTATGAGAATGAATTATCAATACTCCACTATCAATTAAGAAAAATTACTCAGCATACTTAATTTGCTGAGGAGAGGTTGAAAGCATTGTTTTTGTATTTATATTCACCAGCTAATACTTACTGAATGACTATCACATGCATATGAAATATACCATATTTTATCATAAATAAATTTCAATATTGTCACAGTCTTTAATAAACAATAAAAATTATATATGTATTTGAATATTTAAAAAGCAGAATGTTAATTGATAGGCTTAGGATACTAGTTTATCATTCATTTTTTATTTACTATACATATAAAAGATAAAGTAAACCTAATGTTAACATTCCATTCGTTTTGTCTAACAGAACATATTAACATGAAGCTGTTGGGTGTTATTTGGGGGTGGGAGGAAATGAGAGGAAGGACAGAGGGAAGCCATGATCAAATATGTTTGAAAAAATATTGAGTTAAAAATGTTAAGTACATTTTCCTACTTGCAGGATCTCTCAGATCCTTTAATATGGTAATGTAGATTACATTGAGACAGAGCATTCAACTTCATTCAAATTTATTTTACTCTAGAATCCTTTAGATTTTTTATGTTTTTGGCTCCAAGGAACATATTGTTCCTTGTTGAAAAATATTTTCCTACAGAATAGTTTGAAAACCATCAAATTAACATAGTAGCAGAGTTATTTGTATAACATTATTTTTTTCTGTAGATGCAACACATCAAAGAGCTGGTAATGGATGAAGACAACGATGGGTGTACCCCTCTACATTATGCATGTAGACAGGGGGGCCCTGGTTCTGTAAATAACCTTCTTGGCTTTAATGTGTCAATTAATTCCAAAAGCAAAGATAAAAAATCACCTCTGCATTTTGCAGCCAGGTAGGAGTCAGTCTAGCAATGTATGAACATGTCTTCTTTCTGTTTAATATTTGCTTTGAAAATATGAAACCTAATTTTTTCCAAGTTATGGGCGTATCAATACCTGTCAGAGGCTCCTACAAGACATAACTGATACAAGGCTTCTGAATGAAGGGGACCTTCATGGAATGACTCCTCTCCATCTGGCAGCAAAGAATGGACATGAAAAAGTAGTTCAGCTTCTTCTGAAAAAAGGTGCATTGTTTCTCAGGTGAGGATATATGATTGGAGAATTTATAAGTCTCTTTAATTTGCTATTTTCAGGCTATTTTTTCATCATATTTTAAATTATATTTTCTAACTTTGCATCTAACTAAGTACTTTTATCCATTTTATTTTATCATCAAAACACATATAAGTTCTGAAAATACTGAAAGGGAAGTCAGTATTTTTTTCAACTGACAAAGACTTTGACGTTTATAGAGTTGAAGAAGCTTGTTCAAGATCACAGAGTAAGTGGCTTTGTGTAGACTGTTTCTCAGAACCTTTGAAATGCAGTTCCCCGTATTTTACCTCATCATGCTGCCATCTTCCTATGTAGATACAAAGCTGTGGTTGTGTATGTGTGTGTGTACATGTACACTCACGCACAAAGCATATAAGTTCAAATACTCTACTTTTCATTCAATCTGATGAATGGTAGACATAAAATTCTCCCTTTAAGTGACAACAGGAGATAGTAAAACATTTCTGAATTTCATCATACTTAAGTGACCTCAAGCACAAGAAACAAAACCAAATTAAAATATGGAAGCATAATAAAATATATGGCATAATTAATGATATTGTGGTAAAAAAGAAAATCGTGAAAACATTTTATAGTGGTTTTTCATTTGGTATTTTATCACAGCAGTATCAAAGAACTTAGTAGGTGAATGTTCCAAAACACATATCCTTACCAGATTGTTAATGCCAGCAAAATTGGTGCTATAGCTGCAAAAATGAATGTTTTCTGAATTTCTTCTGGTTTACGAGGAAACACCAAGCAACCGACCTGCAAAGGAGACCCACTAGACCCAGACCAGACAGCTGTTGCTTAATTCCACCATAACTGAAATAGCAACATAGCTCTTGCACCCTAAAACATCTGCTCACTAGCACTGAAATTAAATAGCGTAGGGAATTTTTTTCTGTCTAATTCGAAAAAAAGGATAACTAATATGACAAGTCTTCATTGTCTTTACATCTTGAATTTCTGTGAAAAAGGATAAACCTTTTCAGAAGCAATTGGGTAAGCATCTTTCAGAGCACAAGAGGAAAGTTTTTCAGATTTGAAATCTTAGAATAGTAAGTGAAACTAAGCTAAGTATCTTATAGCCATGTACTATATTATTAGTATTATTACCAGTAACTATTGACCACAAAGACTAACACTACTTCATAAAGGTTTTTTTTGATACAATGTTCAATGAAATAGTAAAACAAGATTTAAATTGATGGATATATGTTCATTATAGCTTTGAAAAAATTATGTATGACACAGACACACTAAGTGTACTTCTACCCCAAAGCGTTTGGTAATATGTTTATATACTTTCATATTTTAAACCACTAAATAAAAAATAGTGTGAATCACATTAGAAATAGGTTATTTAAGATCACTGAGCTTGAAATTAGCTCATTTATTACAAATGTTTTATAAATGTTTAGTTGCCAGATCTCAATGCATTTTTTTGTCATCAGATTTACCTAGAATGAACCAAGTGGAATCCCATCCCACTTGTCATCTGTTAAGTGTATGCACACATCTTTTCTTAACTCTTTACCAGTGACCACAATGGCTGGACGGCATTGCATCATGCATCTGTGGGTGGGTACACTCAGACCATGAAGGTCATTCTTGATACTAATTTGAAGTGCACAGATCGCCTGGATGAAGATGGGGTATGTACTGTGGTCCTCACACTTACCCAAAATTTCAGCATAGCAGAAACTTCCAACATTGCCAGAAAATCCTCCTAGACACCTTTTACCTTCCTTGTACTTTTTTGTTGGGTGTTTAGCAAGTGGACTCTTGAAGTATGAGTCAAAAGGCAACAGAAATGGGAGAATACCAAGGGCTGGATGAATGTTGAGAAAACCCCTAGTCTCACAGAGGCTGGTCCACAGGCCACTGTGAGTTGATGGTGAAGTTTTACTCTGTTAGGCCCAGATAAATGAAGGCATGAGTGAGTTTTCATTAAAATAAGTGTTGTTTTGAAGTGTATTGATTTGAAATGCTGCCCTTTATTGTGCAACTATGTCCTTCCTTCTTTGGGAGAAAGTATTGAAATAAAAATGATGGAGATAGAAGATTCTTGTTGCCTTTTCATAAAAAAAAAAGTCTTTATGTGGGGAAACTAAAAACTGGCAAACTTATAACAGTCTGTGATTTTTAAAAACTTTTATAAGCTTAGGAAACCCCAAATCTATAAGCCACTGCTCTCCAAATGATCAATCTCAGGAGTATTTTCTTCTGTGTTCAACCCAACATCTTTACCCTGAAAAGCTTACCCTTTGTCCTTGTCGAAAACAACACAAAACAAATGCCTCAGAATTCATTCTCTCTCTCTCTCTCTCTCTCTCTCTCTCTCTCTCTCTCTCTCTCTCTCTCTCTGTCTTTGTTTTTTAGAGAAGGAAAGAAAAAAAGGAGTGAAGGAGAGGAAAAAAGAGAAAGAAAAAGAGGGAGAGAGAATGGGAATGTTGCTTTATTCTGAAAATGGGTGTTGAAAACCTCTTTTCTGCCAATAATTGTGCTTAATAATGGCCAATCAATATTTCATTTAAACCTATGAGTAGATGTGATGTGGTACTGACAAGAATGTATATTTTGTGTATTTAAAGTAGAGAGTTCTATAAATGTTTATTAAGTTTACTTGTTCCAGATCTGAGTTCAAGTCCTGGATATCCTTATTAATTTTCTGTCTTGTTGATCTATCTAATATTGATGTTGAAGTCTCCCACTATTATTGTGTGGGAGTGTAGGGAGTCTAAGTCTCTTTATAGATCTTATGTATCTGGGTGTTAGGATCATTAGCTCTTATTGTTGCATTGATCCTTTTACCACTATATCTTTGTTGCTTTAAGATCTATTTTATCAGATGTGAGAATTGCAACTCCTGCTCTTTATTTATTTATTTACTTTTGCTCTCCATTTGGTTGGTAAATGTTTCTTCATCCCTTTGTTTTGAGTCTTTGTGTATCCTTGCATGTGAAATGGGTCTGGATGTAGCATACCATTGGGTTTTGGCTGTATCTTTTGATTGGGGGATTTAGTCGATTTAAATTTAGGATTACTGCCATTTGATGTTAACTGGCTGTTTTGCCCATTCATTGATGTAAATTCTTCTTTATGTTGATGCTTTTTATTTCTTGGTATGTTTTTAGAAAGGCTAATACTGGTTGTTCCTTTCTATGTGTAATGCTTCTTTCAGAAGCTCTTGTAAAGCAGGCCTGGTGGTAATAAAATCTCTGAGTACTTGCTTGTTCATAAAGATTTTATTTTTCCTTCAGTCGTGAAGCTTAGTTTGGCTTGATATGAAATTCTGGGCTGAAAGTTCTGTTCTTTGAGGATGTTGAATATTGGCCCCCACTCTCTTCTGGCTTGTAGGGTTTCTGCAGAGAGATCTGCTGTAAATAAGTCTGATAGGCTTCCCTTTGTGGGTAACCTGACCTTTCTCTCTGGCTGCTGTTAGTATTTTCTCCTTCATTTCAACCCTGGTGAATCTAATGATTATGTGCCTTGGGGTTGCTCTTCTTGAGGAATATCTTTGTGGTGTTCTCTGTATTACCTGGGGTTGAATATTGTCCTGCTTAGCTAAGTTGGGAAAGTTTTCCTGAATAATATCCTTAAGAGTATTTTCCAGCTTGGATTCATTCTCTTCGTTGTATTCGGGTACACCTATCAAACGTAAATTAGGTCTTTTCACATAGTCCCATATTTCTTGGAGACTTTGCTCATTCCTTTCTCTCTCTCTCTCTCTCTCTATCTCTCTCTCTCTCTCTCTCTCTCTCTCTCTCTCTCTCTCTCTCTCTCTCTCTCTCTCTCTGTCACACACACACACACACACCCCACACATGCACACTCACTATAAATTCATTATTTTGAAGCTTGATTCTGAACACCAGTTTTAAATGCTACATATTTTGGTATTAAATAGTTAGTGTTGCTAAGATCTTTTAAGCTGTTTAGCAGTGAAACAAGGAAGATTAGGCATTGTCACCACATCTTCTGTGTCTGTTTTTCTTCAAAAGAACACTGCACTTCATTTTGCTGCAAGGGAAGGCCACGCCAAAGCCGTTGCCCTTCTTCTGAGCCACAATGCTGACATAGTCCTGAACAAGCAGCAGGCCTCCTTTTTGCACGTTGCACTTCACAATAAGAGGAAGGAGGTAGTTCTTACGACCATCAGGAGCAAAAGGTACTTCCTGATGTCTTCTTGCCCACTGTCATTAAGTGTTCTCTGGTGTCGGGGATGATTTGAAGTCTGAGAGAAAAGGAAAGAAAAGAAATGAGTTTCAGTCATTAATCAAAATTTAAAATATCAGTTGTTCACATCACTTTTCAAAAAGTTTTTAATTTTTAACTTTTTTTTTTTTTTTTTTTTGAGACAAGGTCTAGCTCTGTCGCGTGCAGGCCGGAGTGCAGTGGCGTGATCTCTGCTCACTGCAACCTCCACCTCCCAGGCTTCAGCAATTCTCGTGTCTCAGCCTCCCAAGTAGCTGAGCCACCATGCCCAGCTAACTTTTGTATTTTTAGTTGAGATGGGGTTTCCCCATGTTAGTTAGGCTGGTCTTGATCTCCTGAGCTCAAGTTATTTTCCCACCTCAGCCTCCCAAAGTGCTGGCATTACAGACATGAGTCACTGTGCCTGGTCCTTTTTATTTTTGATTAGTGTGGGCAAATAGTAGATGTGTATATTGATCAGGTACATCAGATGTTCTGATGCAGGCATGAAATGCATAATAATCACATCATAGAGAATGGTATCTATCCCCTCAAGCATTTATCCTTTGTATTACAAACAATCCAATTAGAGTCCTTTATTTATTTTTAAATGTCGACCTAAATTTATAAGTAAATTTTTTGGATGACAGCAGGTACCTCTCTGATCTTCAGTTTATATTTCTTTTCTTTTTCTAGATGAGGTTTCACCATATTGGTCAGGCTGGTCTCAAACTCCTGACCTCAGGTTATCCACTTGCCTTGGCCTCCCAAAATGCTGGGATTGCAGGCATGAGCCACCATGCCCAGCCCAGTTTATATTTCTTAAAAAAATAAAATATGAGTACATAAAACCAAGCTTCACAGTACTCTTGTCAGACTCCAGGGGTTCAGGCATGTGTAGTGTCTGGAACCATGTCATTGTCAAGCAAACTTTGCACTGCCCTACCTGAACTTTCATGGCACGTGCCAGTAGAAACCCTAAAACTGGATGCTGGTCAAAATATTCCCCAACGTAAATCCAGGTAGTTATCAGTGCCCTGTAATGGGATGTCTCTTAACACATAATCTTTATGGTTTCTAAACCATACTCCAAGGAATTTTAATGATGAAGTTAGACGATACTTTGTCTTGCTTCTCATAATAACTTTAAAATATCACTTTCTTTAATAATTACAGATAGATATGCACAAGGACCCAGTGTCACCTAGTTGTGGACACAGAGTGAACAATCTCATATTCAAGGCAGATCTAGTCTGTGTTTTTGAGCATGAGCAGTCTAAAAACATCTCCTACTAATCATCCCTTTAAAGCACATTTTAATGAAAGTGTTCAACCCAAACTTTTCTTTTGATAATGTAGATATATTAGATGGACTTTACTGATAGAGTGTAACAGAAAATTAGATAGGATCTAGAAGATGAATGGGCTCTTCTTTGCCACCACCTGCCACAGATTTAGTTCCTCTTTGGTATGGTAAGCCCCTTCTTACCCTGTTCAATTGGATGGTGATGAAGAAAATGGGCAAAATTGGAGTGTTCTGGCGGAGGCTGTGCTTTTCAATGCACTTTACAGGTGTTAATTTGTAGTTTAACTCAATACAGCATGTACACATGTATTAGTTGTTAAATTTGGGCCCAGTATTACACTGATGGTGTAGGTATGTGAACATGGAATCTCTACCCAATGTGGTCAGCTCTATAAGTACTTACCATTTCATGACTTCAGGAGAAAAAGAAGATATAGTCCCAGCTTCTTTGAATGGCATTTAGATAAAGAGACAGACCAATGATTATAACAGCCATTCTGAAATTTGCCCACATTCCTAATATCCAATAATGGACAAGAATCCATTTTACTGGGTTGATCTTGATTTACATGTTGGTTCCATTGAAACCAAGAGTAAGCATTACAGTTCATGAATAAGCTTAAATTTTGGTTTCTCCTAAAGAAATAATCTTGAGTTTTAGCTGTTGTACAGAACAGAAGGATGACCTGTGCTTATTTATTTATTTTTTACAGATGGGATGAATGTCTTAAGGTTTTTTGTCATAATTCTCCAGGCAATAAATGTCCAATCACGGAAATGATAGAATACCTCCCTGAATGCATGAAGGTAAACTCTCTAAAGCAAAACTCTTCCTGTGTTTATGCTTGGCATATATGATATGAGGATTTATTGTTGTAATCACAACCTGATAATTATAATAATAATAATAATTTCCATCTTTAAATAAAGCTTCTCATTTTCCATAGACCATAAGGGAAGTTAGATGATAACTATTTAAGGAAGGCGTTCTTGGATTAAAGAATCCTACTAGTTATCATATGTAATACAGAATAATATGCTAAATTTTTATATAGACAATCTACACCTATGAGAGAGTCTAGGAACTGGTGTTTGCTAGCTGAATAAAATCTTCATATATATTTTGCTTGTCATGCATGCTATTGTTGTTTCAAATTTGCATAAATTGCTAATATTTGAAATCAGGATACTTTCCTGCTTTCCTTAAGGAGGAAAGTAAGATATACCAGGAGGCAGTAAGATATAGTGACACAGGGAATAGAAGACCAGATTTGGTACCTTTTGGAGGTCCTGGGATTTAATCCTTGTGCTGCCTTTTGCTGTGTTGTTTTAGGCAAGTCATTTCACTTCTTTGAGCGTTATTTTCCGTTTTCTTTATTTCTGAAATGATGCTGATACTGATCTTACAAAGCGATTGCAAAAATGGGGGTAAAATATATAAAGTTCTAAGGATAATGGTTCATACATAATATACCTCCTACTGATTTTATACTGCTTATGTGGTTATTAGTACTACTAGCATTTATTATTTTTGTTTATTGAACAAAGACTTACTGTGCACTAAATATTTTGGGCATTTTTTCTTTATGATGCCTAATGAAAGTTGGAGCTAGATAGTACACAAATGGCACACAGGTAACTTTTTAGGTGCCTACATGCATCAAAAGACACGTAAATGCTCAGGGTTGAGAACAATCTCAGACTTTCTTATTCAGTCATTACAGTTGTTAAAATTTGTCTTAATGAATAATCAGAGATACAGATTTTTATAGAGTGTTTCCTACAACATTATTTATAATTGTAAAACAATGTTGGAAACATAAACAGTTGAAATTATACCAAAATGTTAATAAGAATTATCTGTTATCAAATTAGGATTCACTTAATTTCTTCCTTATATGACTATATTTTCTAGATAATTGTCTATAATGACATTATTATTTTCATATTGTGGCTACTTTTCAACAAAATAAATAAACTTAAATGTTTTAATTTAGCCTGACATAGTGCATTTGAATTACTTATACAACATTTCTGAAAAGTTCCTCTTGAAATCTCAGCCGCCCTCACCCAAGGCAGCCCATCCTTTATTTTGCTTATGTTGATAACTATAAAGTTTTCAAACCATAAAAACCAGACCTGCCTGTTTCTACCTTGCACAGTACTACTGGCTAGTCTTGTCTTTATTTTTCATGATGCTTTTCGTGGCCCCCAGTACTGCCATCCAGTCACCAACAGAACCTTCCTTGTAATTTTTCTTAGTCCCTTTGAAACCTGAGACCAGCCAGGGCCCTGTTTATTCCCCTGGATATAGTTTGACCCTCTACCCTCAAGTTATGCAGGTGGAGTTCACCAGATACCCCAGGAGGTCCTAGATGCTTTGATGGGGCTATAAGGGGTATTGTGTCCAGTCTTGGTTCCAAGAGAGCAGCCTGGCTTAAGTGGTATTTCTTTCTCAGGATCATAAATTTGGACCACTGGATTTGGGGTGTCTTGAATTGTTTACACAGCTCCCTAAAAACATTTGTTCCCACACACCATAGGGGTGGCTCTAATGACCCCATAAGTGTTCTTTCCCTGAGTTAAGTATCTAGAGGGTCTTCATGTATTTCTCACTACAATATCTACCCCCACTATCCTGTGCACCCCTCTCTAAACACATACTCTCTCCATGTTGCTTAGCAAATGAGGAATGGAAACAAGCACATTACTCCAGGCTGGGGAAATTCAGAAGATAGAACTTAAACCATAAAAGACTCCATTGTTAGGATGAAACATCTTGATTAGGAACAATAAGTTGTCACTCTAAGGTACTGAACAAAGGAATTAGTTTGACTATGCTTTACCCCAACTATTTTGGATCAGAAGTGTTTTGGATTTCAGAATATTTGCACACACACACACACACACATATGTGTACATATATATATATATATGTATATGTATATGTATATATATATAGAGAGAGAGATATCATATGGATGGAATCCAAGGGTAGATACAAAATTCATTTGTGTTTCATATACTCCTTAAAAGCATAGTCTGAAGGTAATTTTATATAATATTTATAATAATTTTTATATAAAATTTGTAATATTTGCACATAAAATTAAGTTTGTATTAAGTACTTATGTGTAGAATTTTCCACTTGTGGCAATATGTGTGTGCTCAAAACATTTTGGATTTTAGAGTATTTCAATTTCATATTTTCAGATTAGGGTTGCTCAACCTATAATCTATATATCCTCTAAAAGCCCAGAAAGACATCAAATCTTAGGCACAATTAGTAGAATATCTCTTACTCAGATTTGAGTACATGCAATTTTATTCTCAAGCACATGTATTTGTCTGAATCACTTGGTATTCCTGAGGCACGCAGAGGTATTTGTAACATTTTTTATTTTAAACTTTAAGGACATGGATGAACCTGGAAACCATCATTCTCAACAAACTGACACAAGAACAGAAAATCAAACACCACATGTTCTTACTCATAGGCAGGTGTTGAACAATGAGAACACATGGACACAGGGAGGGGAGCCCTACACACTGGAGTCTGCTGTGGGGAAGTAGGGGAGGTACAGTCGGGGGTGGGGAGTTGGGGAGAGATAGCATGGAGAGAAATGCCAGATATAGGTGAACGGGAGGAAGGCAGCAAATCACACTGCCACGTGTGTACCTATGCAACTATCTTGCATGTTCTTCACATGTACCCCAAAACCTAAAATGCAATAAAAATAAACAAATAAAAGTTTGTTTCTGAATGACATATATTATAATTTATTCTTGAGATGCAAGAAGCCAAGGAAAGGAAATGTGTCTTGTGTGTTATTTTAGAAATAGGATAAAATCCTTCCTAATATCTAGTGTACTGCCCAGTATCTTAGCTAGTTTTTCTGTTTCAAAGGTACTTTTAGATTTCTGCATGTTGCCTTCCACAGAGGACAAGTCCTGCAGAGACTACTATGTAAGTTCATTTCATCATCATAATTTGAAACTTGTTTTGTTATAATTCTTTGAAAAATATTAAAAATATTGTTACTATTGATCTGTAATCTACTGTGAAGTATTGGTCTCATTTATCATGTTATTATATTATCTACCTGTGAGAGAATATTTCAATTTTCTCCTCAGTTTTCCCCTATTATTTTAATAGTTTCTAATGGCATCATTTAGTGTTATTTCTAGTCTTTATATTTCCTTGGTTAGTTCTTCCTTAATAATGAAGATCTAAGAGATCTAAATGATCTTTTGAGAATTACTCTCTTTCCATGCCTATGAGATATAAAGCAACTGAATAACAGCCTTTCAGGATATTTATTTTTAGAATCAATATTCAATAACAATTTCTTTTCTCCACTTGAAATAACTCAACTTTGTTCAAATCACTTAATTTTCAGCAGAATTGTAAACTTGTGTATTTGATTTTTCAGGAATGATTTTTGGGGTTCTATACTTGACTAACTGTACTTTTAAAAAATATATTCTACAGATCGAGTATAATTTTAAATATCTTCAATGCCCGTTAGAATTCACCAGAAAAACAACACCTACACAGGATATTACTTATGAACCTCTTATAGCCCTCAATGTAAGTTCAATGTTTTCATTATCTAGGTAGTTTCTAGCTCGGTTCTAAAATGTTTTGATACAGTAGTCTAAAACATTTCAATACTTGATGGATGGAGAGAATTCCAGTTTTACAGTTCTATGTCTAGGTCTGCCATGTGACTCAATCTTCTATTTTTTAATAAAGAAAGCAATCTTTTCTTTTCAATTGCTATAAAGTTCTACACTACATTTCTAATGGTCACTTAAGGCCTGCTCCAATACAGAATAAAATAAACCCTGGACAACACAGGTAAAGCTTGCCACCCCTATCTACCTTCATATTTCAGAGTTTTCTCCAGTGTAAACCACAGGAAAATGCAAGGGGTGATATTTCACAGCCACAGCTTCTAATTTCGGCCAGCTGCTGGGATCCAAGGTAAACGCTGACCATTCAGAGGTTCTTAGATTCCAGAGGAATGACCCAATTTGAAGTAGGCTTTGAAGACACAACATTAACTTGAATTTCTCAAGAAACTTTTTAAAAAGAAGCTATTAATTAAAAGATGCTTTTACACTTCTAGCCAATGAAGCAATGAAAATCATGCTTTTGATCCCTTTCAGTCTAAATCAAAGGTCTCAAACTGAAATAACAACAGAGAAAATAGTAACAGATGAGTAACTTAGGCTTCTGGTTAAAAGGACAGTGACTACTAGTTCGACAAATCATTTCTATGTGGCAATAGCAGCCCACACTTGTGTAAATACTGGCAACAAATTAAAATTGTGTCCATGCAAAGCAAAACATATATAAGGACTGGATTTGCAAATTTTGGTCTAGATTTGTGGTATCTAATATGGGAGGCAGTAGTCATATGTGGCTTCCTAAATTAAAAAGTAGTTAAAATTAAATAAAGTTAACAGTTTATTTTTAAGTCAGTCACACTAGCCACATTTTAAGTACTCAGTAGCCTATTTGGCTTGCAGCTCTCATATTGCACTGCACATGTAGAAGACATTTTCATCATTGCAGGAAGTTCTATTGGACAACACTGCTCTAGTTCAATGAAGAATTTTCATTCACTTTCAATGAATTCATTTCCCTACAGTGAATCCTTTGGTACAGACCATGGCAGCAGCCATCACCCAAAGTTAAACCTACAAGGCTTACTGAGTACTTGGAGTGTAAGGGATGCAAACTCATGGGGATTTTATGCTCTAAACACTGGTGATGGCAACTGACTCACCTTTGCTGTCAGCACTTTAGCTCTCCTTGAGTATGTTATATTTTCCTATTATAGTTGATAACCCAGTGATCTAACAGTAACTACTCTATAGTTATACTTAGAAAATTTGTTGTATATGTACGTTTTTAAATTATAATTTAAAAAGTAGATAATACTTCTATTAGAAAGAAAACGTATCTATTTTTGTCTCCATTATCAGAATAAGAATAGGAGGAAATAAGATATATGTAGCATATAAAAAGAAATAGACAATACATAACAATGGGCAAAGTATAATTTAAATAAAGTAGGTTTACTTAGATAAATGCAATGCACTAGGTACCAAACCAGCACGTGATTCTGTGACATCTTAATAGCTTAGGAAACCTTGCTTTAGTTAGAAATGAGTTGAGTGGGCTCTTCAAGAAGGCAGCTGGGAGAAATTATTGTGCACAGAAAATTCGAAAGTCTAGATGGACCAAATAGAGAACATAAGAAATCAGATGCTGAGATTAAGACAAACTGGAGTGAGTGAAAAGCTAGTTCATTAATGGTGCATGCAAGAGTAGAGCTACTGTAGAAAGTGTAAAGTCTTATTTCTACTTTATTTGGGAGATATTTAAACTTACAATGTACTTGCATGCCTCAAGGGGTCGGTTTGCTGTATTATTAGTTTAAAAGCAGAGTTGCAAGATTTCAGAAACATAAGAGGATTGTTTTAATGAAGACACATGGAAAACAAGTTTCTGTATGTGTCTCTAGTATGGTGTTTTAAAACACAATTAATAGTAACATTTTGAATTGCTCTCACAAATATTTTTCCATATTTTTTATTTTAACTTGAAGAAACCATTAATTTTCAATGGAAAAAAGTCAATTATGCATGGAAATTTAGATAAGGTTTCAAAAACAATAGTTAGATCCTGCCAGGTTTCCGCCCCCCACCCCCAGAATAGCTAGATATGTGGCTTTTTGGGCTCCACTGGGCATCCAGCTGATAAGGAATATTTGCAACAAGGAATTCTTTAGTTCCCCCAGCATATTGTGTACAAATCTATCTCAATTACTTTTCAAATGGTTGGGGTAAAAATAAATTTGAAAAAGGAAAGGTTAACCTGGAAATATTCCATTGTTGTTGTCACAGTGGTAGTTTCTAAACTGCAATCTCTGGCTGCTTGAATCAGAATTATTGTGGTTCTCGTTGAAATGAAGTTTCTTAAGGCCCATCTTAGCCCTACTAACCAAGAATTCTTGAAGGTAGACCTAATAATAAAAAATTTTAAATAAGCTTCTGAAGGCTGGGTGCGGTGGCTCATGCCTGTAATCCCAGCACTTTGGGAGGCCAAGACAGGCAGATCACAAGGTCAGGAGAGATCAAGACCATCCTGGCCAACATAGTGAAACTCCATCTCTACTAAAAATACAAAAATTAGCTGGGTGTGGTGGCTCATGCTTGTAATCCCAGCTCCTCGGGAGGCTGAGGCAGGAGAATCACTTGAACCAGGGAGTTGGAGGTTGCAGTGAGCTGAGATCATACCACTGCACTCCAGCCTGGTGACAGAGTGAGACTCAGTCTCAAAAAAAAAAAAAAAAAGAAAAAGAAAAAGAAAAAGAAAAAAGTCCTTTGAAAAAGATTTTTATGAACACTAAGATTGAGGAAATCTAATGCAGTGCTGATAAACAGTAAAAACTATAGTATAAGGTTTTTCAAAATGTAGGTGGGTGTTTAATGCAAAAACTAGAAGTTGTTTGATAGAATAATTTTGGGAAGTTCGAAGTTAATACAAGGAAGCTAAAACTAGAAATTCCAACTTCTATCTAAAAGCTATCTAGAAAGATGGACATTTTTAAAAACAGAGAGAAAGATAGAAAATTAAAGGATGATGTCTAAGAATTTTATAGAAATGTAATATATAATTCATCAAATTAAAAAATATACTTCCCCAAGGGCTAAGAAGACCATCTTGGCTGCATCATTTTTAATTATAAAATGTGAAACAATAGTAGTATTTATCAATAAGGGGAGGTCTCAATAAACTACTATATCCAAATAATGGAATATTAAGCAGTATTTAAAAACAGTGTTCTTGATGAATCTTTATATAACATTGATATGTTTCTAGGTTGAATAAGTAAATTGAAGACATAATTTGAGTAAAAACATAAACACAAAATAATTATCCTTTTTCTCCATAACTACATGTGAGTTTTTGAAAATGGATGTTTATGTATAGAAATATAAAGGATTTGGAAGGATGCACAAATTAGCAATGGTGATACTACTGAGGAAATGGAGTTCTGCCCAGAACTGAGGCTTGGATGTGGTGACAACTACAGCCTATGCCAATTTTTCAGTAATTTAAAGAAGAATTTATTTGGGTATTTCTTTTTTTTTTCAACTTGTGCTAAAAGCATAAAGTTAAAATTACTGTCTTAATTGTTTTCAAATGTATAGTTCAGTAGTGGTAAGTATTTTCATATTGTTACTCAGGAGATGTCTAGAATTCTTTCATGTTACAAAGTGAAACTCTGTACTTATTAAACACTAACTTCCCTCATCTTTCTCCCAGCCCTTGGCAACCACCCTTCTACTTTTTGTTTCTATAAGTTTTCTGCACCTTAGGTACTTAATATAAGTGTAATCTTACAGTATTTGTACTTTTGTGACTGGCTTATTTCAATTACTGTAATCTCTTTAAAGTTCATTCATGTTACAGCATGTGATAAGACTTCTTTCTTTAAGGCTGAATAATATTTCATTGTCTGTGTATACCACATTTTCCTTATCTGTTTGTCTGTTGAGGACATTTGGGTTGCCTTCCCTTTCTGATGATTGTGATAATGCTATAGCAAACATGGGTATACAAATATCTCTTCAAGATCCTGCTTTAAACTCTTCAGATACACAGTTAGAGATAGGCTTGCTGGATCATGTGACGATTCTATTTTTAATTTTTTGAGGAACCTCAATACTGTTTTCTATCATGGCTGTCTCATTTTACATTCCCACCAGTAGGGCACAAGAATTCCAGTTTCTCAGAATGCTCACCAATACTTGTTGTTTTTTGTTCTTTTGATAGTGGCCATCCTGATGGATGTGAAGTGGTATCTCATTGTGGTGTTAAACTGCATTCCCTAATAATGAATGATGTTGAGAATCTTCTCATTCAGTAGTCATAAGCAACAGTGCTTACTGACTATTCATATGTTTTCTTTGGAGAAATGCCTATTTGTAGCCTTGACCCATTTGCAAATTGGGTTATTTATTGCCTTGTTGAATTGTAGGAGTTCCTATGTATTCTGGATATTAACTTCTTGTAAGATATATAATTTGTAAATATTGACTACCATTCCATAGGTTGCCTTTTCACGTTGGTCATTGCTTCCTCTGCCTTGTAGAAATTTTTAACTGTGTATAGTCCTATTTGTCCATTTTTGCTTTAGTTGCCTGTCCTGTTTGTATCATAGCCAGTAAATCATTCTCTCTTTTTCCGTTAATTAGTCTAATAAAATTTTAATTGTGTTTATCTTTTCAAAAAACCAACTCTTGGTTTCATTGATTTTTATGTCGTTTTTCTGTTCTGTACTTCATTTATCTCTGCTCTTATCTTTTTTTTTTTTTTTTTTGAGACGGAGTTTTGCTCTTCTTACCCGGGCTGGAGTGCAATGGCGCGATCTCGGCTCACCGCAACCTCTGCCTCCTGGGTTCAGGCAATTCTCCTGCCTCAGCCTCCTGAGTAGCTGGGATTACAGGCACGCACCACCATGCCCAGCTAACTTTTTGTATTTTTAGTAGAGATGGGGTTTCACCACGTTGACCAGGATGGTCTCGATCTCTCAATCTCGTGATCCACCCGCCTCGGCCTCCCAAAGTGCTGGGATTACAGGCTTGAGCCACCATGCCTGGCTCTGCTCTAATCTTTATTAATTTCTTCATTTTGATAATCTTAGGTTTAGTTTGTTCTTTATTTCCTTGAGTTTTAAGGAATTATAGATTTGAGATCTTTCTTCTTTTATAACTTAGGTGTTTACCAATATAAACTTGCCTCTTAGTATTGCTTTAGTTGAACCCCATATATTTTGGTATATTAGTATTCATTTGTTTCCAGATATTCTCTAAATTTCTCTTTTATTTTTTTCTTTGACCTATTTGCTGTTTAAGAGTGAGTTGTTAAGCTTCCACGTTTTTTGATTTTCCTATTTTCCTTCTGCTTTTGATTTCTAGTTTTATTACACTGTAGTGAGGAAGATATTTTATATGATTTCAATCTTTTGAAATATTTAAATACTTGCTTTGTGGCCTAATACATGGTGGTCTATCTTAGAGAATGTTCTATGTGAGCATGAGAAGAATGTTTATTCTTCTGTTGTGTCAGAGGATGAACTATTCTGTATATGTCTGTTAGGTAAAGTGATCTGTGCTGGTGTCAAGTCTTCTGTTTCCATGTTGATCTTCCATTAGATTGTTCCATCCATAACTGAAAGTCAGGTAGTAAAGTCTCCTACTATAATTGTGTTGCTGCTTATTTCTCCCTTCAGTTCTATCTAAGTTTGCTCCATATTTTGGGGGGCTCTAATGTGATGTGTGTATATATTTATAATTGTTGTATCTTCCTGGTGAGTTGACCTTGTTATCATTACATATTGTCTTTCTTTGTTTCTTGTCACTGTTTTTGTCCTAAAGTCTATTTTGTGTGATGTAAGTATGGCTGTTTCTTTTCACTTCAGGTTTTCATTTGCATAGAGCATCTTCTTCCATCCATTTACTTTCAGCCTGTCTTCTTATATCTAAAGTGAGTCTCTTGTAGACAGCATATAGTTGAATCCTGTGTGTCATCCAGTCAGTCTATCTTTGTATTTTAATAGGAGAGTTTACCACTTTATCTTTAAAAGAATTACTGACAGGAAACAACTTGCGATTGCCATTTTGTTAATTGTTTTCAGTATGTGGTTGCTTTTTTGTCTCTTTTCTCCTATATCTCTGGTGCTGTAGCAAGTCGTGATACTGGGACACTGCCTAGTATCTGTCGGTGACACAGTATCTTCTCTGGTGCTAGACTAAGTCTCACTGATCTACTTTGTTAACAGTGATCCCTTCCTGGCACCCATTAGTGTCAGAGCTTATATTCAGGCAAGATAAAAATCATTCCATTGGACAGCCCCTTAGAAGTCAGAAGTCAGTGGATATGTTCCACTCTTTTCTTTCTCTTTCCAGGGAGAAGGCAGGATTTGGGAGTTTTCTCCCAGTGTGATTTGCCAGAGGGAAGAGCTATGGCAAGTAAAGGCCATGAACTTTCCTATTGTCTTTGATATGGTTCTTTTTGGCTACATGCTCACCTTGGGTGCAGGAACCCCTTAACTAGGCTCTAGATTGCTTGCTCACAAAGGAAATGGTCTGTGTATTGTTTTTAATTCCATGTCTCTATGGAGGAAGGGGGACCTGGGACTTTATATTTTGCTACCTTGCTGGCATCAGTCCCTCTATTTATATATTTCTTGAATAATTAAAAACTAATTTTTAAGTAAATACAAGTAGTCACAAATAACTCTAATGAAAACTTATGATCTAGATTAATTCAATTTAACAGCTATATATGTGTATTCTACTGCATAAAATCCTTCTAGAAAGATAAGGCTGAATTTCTTCAAGGACAGAATGAGGGTGTAAATTCTGCTAATTTATCTTTAATATCCTTTACTGTTGTAACCCTGTAATAGATTAAAAAGCTTATGCTAGATCAAGAAGTCAGAGGTCTAAAGAGACAGACTGAATCAAACAATTGTACCTGAACAAAATGGTTCTCTCTAATTTGTTTTTTAAAAATGTTGATCTAATTTTTATTTTTTCAAATGTTCTAAAATAAGGGTTACTATTGCAATATCAAAACAAAGTTCTAAAACCAGACAATAAAAAGATTATTTTATACTCAGTAGTTACTTATGATTATTTATTAATATTCTTTTTATTTCTCAGGCAATGGTACAAAATAACCGCATAGAGCTTCTCAATCATCCTGTGTGTAAAGAATATTTACTCATGAAATGGTGGGTATTGAATAGTATTTCTTGTTTAATGCTGTGCCTATTAGATCTATTAAAAAGTCTTCAAAACGATTATATTTTAACATTTTAGCTTTTGTTATTTTAATGTTTTTTACTTTGAAAAAATAAGTAAGGCAAATATTGGTATTAAAAAATCTGGCATGGTTTATCATTAAATGAAATATTTTGAGGGTGGGAGGGAATTATCATATAAGACATGAAGAAGCTCTTTAGAGCCTACAATTTATCTGTAACATTAAATGAAATAGTTGGGGCATGGAAAGGAATCATTATATAGAACATGTAGAAATATCCTGGACCCTGAAATTTAGTTGACAATGAAGAATGAGGTGTGTTCTAAAAAGAGCACTCATATTGCTGTCAGATTATATGGGTTAACATATCAGTTCTTTTATTAGTTTGTTAAGTCATAATTTGCTTAGAACTTGAGATTAGTTCTCTGAAAATGAAAAAGGTGAATTAGAAGATTTCCTTCATTCCTTAGAATTCAGTGAATTTACCAACGAGATTTCTGAAAGAGATTATAACCACTTTCCCCCCAGGTATCTTACATAAATATTTTTGTTTAAAATGACTCAATTCTTGTTTGCTTATATTTTTGTAGGATGGCTTATGGATTTAGAGCCCATATGATCAATTTAGGATCTTATTGTCTTGGTCTCATACCTATGACCTTTCTCGTTGTCAATATAAAACCAGGAATGGCTTTCAACTCAACTGGAATCATCAATGAAACTAGTGATCATTCAGAAATACTAGATACCACGGTAATTTCACATTTTAACTTTTTAAAATAAAGGATTATAAACATATATTTCTTCTTAAGACTACTAAACTTATAATAAATCAGACATATCAGGACTTTATTATAAATAGTCTGTAAGAGTTCATATATGATACTAATTTCTCCTAAAATCCTTTGTGGAAGGAGAGGAAATGTAAACAAACAGGCCAACTAATGAATTTGTAAACTAATTTAAAAGGAATTGACATGTGTTAGATGCTAGCTTAAATACTGAGGTGTAAAACTTTAAAATACATGTCCAAGAAGGCAGCTTTGTGGTTGCCAGGGACTGTGAGACATGGGAAATGAGGTGAGATGCTTTGTGGATATATGGTTTCCATCCAAGATGATGAAAAAGTTATGGAACTAGATAATGGTGATGGTGGTATAATACTGTGACTATCCTTAATGCCACTGAATTATATATTTTAAAATTTAAATGTACATGTTAAATATAAGACTTTTAAAATGTACATGTAAAATGTAAGCTTTAAGTTACATGTATTTTGCCACAATAAACAATTTTATATAGGTCTACAGATTCATATTCTTTTTAAATTCAATTAGCAAATTTTCAACTTCACTTAACAAGGACATTCTAAAATAAGGGTGTGTATGCCTCTAGTAAATGATATGAGTACTGGTGTCAGTTAAATTTTCTGTTTAAGTCAAAGTGGACAGTATATAGAAATTAAGCTAAAAAAAAAGAACACAGGGAGGGGAGCATCACACACTAGGGACTGTAGGGGGGAACTCGAGGAGGGACAGCGAGGGTTGGGGAGTTGGGGAGGGATAACATGGGGAGAAATGCCAGATATAGGTGATGGGTAGGAAACCACATTGCCATGTATGTACCTATGCAACAATCTTGCATGTTCTTCACATGTACCCCAAAACCTAAAACACAATAAAATATATATTTAAAAAAAAGAAAATTAATAGTGAAAATTATAGAAATATTAAAGTGTTTTATATTCCTCATAACTATATGTCTTATCCTTTTTTGTTTTAGGATTCATATCTAATAAAAACTTGTATGATTTTAGTTTTTTTATCAAGTATATTTGGGTATTGCAAAGAAGTGGTCCAAATTTTCCAACAGGTATGAAATACATTTTGTATCTCTAAAGTTGCAAACATTTTAATATGCAGAACATAAATTAATTGACAAGCTATTATTTGAGATAATATTGTCATAATAAAATTATATAGCTTGACTAACATATAGATTAGAAATACCAAGCATAAATGTTTCAAAATGCAGAAATCACATGATTTTAGGTAAAGTCACTGTCTGTTTTATGAGTCAGAGTCTCATAGACTCTCATATATCTATGAGAGATGTTCCACTTTTACTGGTCCATAATTATCTGTGTGGCTACAAATGGTCATTATGAGTGACCTTTCTGTCTTTTCTCTTACATAGTTTTAAAGATTTTGCTAACGTAAAACAATTTGAACTTGATAATTTTAAATGTAAATGTTTATAAAAAAGTTATCTGACCCAAGACTCCATTTCAAATGGGTCATTCTTTGAATTCCTTTACTAACACAAATGCTTTTCTTGACTAAATAAACCTCCAAGTTTTCATACAATTTTGGAACTTTTTATAGCAAAATTTTTACCTTATATTATACCATTTAAATGAGTAAGCCAAGTTCAGATCATAACCAAGTATATAAATTATCTGCAGCTTGCCCTTCCTTTGGTTCATAAATGGCGTGGATCCTTCATTTCTCAGTATGGAGGTTGAAAGTCTTTTATAATTCTTTTTGTATAAGTTCATGAATGTTATTTTTATAAATCATATGTCTTTTATACAACACCTCACTTTCTGTGAAAATTTTCTTTGTTGCATCATGTAAACACATATATATTTGCATTTATAAATGTGACAAAATGCTTTGCATTTTTAAAATATTATACATTGCAAGTACTTTCATATAGATACTTTAAGAAATTTGTCATAATTCTGATAGTTACACTGTAATGTTGCATTTTACCTTAAACAATTTAAGGCATATTCCTTAATCTTTCTTGCCATTATTTTCATTTTCCAGAAATGAAAATTGCAGATTGTAGTTTAAATTGAGCTATAAAGTTATATGAATTCTCTTTCAGATTTGGTCTCTACATTTTCTTATTGATATACAAATAGTCTATTGGAAATTTAATACCCAATATGTAAAAAATTTGAAAATACCATTATTATTTGTTTTTATTCCCTAATTAAGTCTTAGTGCATGTCTCAAACCTTTTTAGACAAGCTTTAGTTCATAAAGATAGCTGCACATTCATGTTCTTATACAGGTAGAAAGGCCGCAGGAATTACTAAACCAACTTGCAATCCCCAAGAAGTTTTTTTAATATGAAGTGGACTCCACAGGGAAAACCCAGCAACTTGTAGGATTTCCTTATGCATAACTCCCGCAACACCAGGTTAACAGAGGACTCTGGAACATCTCTGACCCCAATCCATACCCCAGGGGCTCTGAAGTCAATCCAGGATGGCATAATGTTGCTCCTTGGTCCTAAACTTCTCTCCAGATGGCTGTAAAGCTAGAAAAAGTTTAGTACTGGGTACATATGTATAGCCATCCATAGATGCTAGGTCACTATGTGTGGTAATTTTTTATTCTTTTCTATCACAGAAAAGGAATTACTTTATGGATATAAACAATATTATTGAATGGATTATTTACACGACGGGCATCATTTTTGTGCTGCCCTTATTCATTGAAATACCAGCTCATGTGCAGTGGCAATGTGGAGCAGTTGCTATTTACCTCTATTGGATGAACTTTTTATTGTATCTTCAAAGGTAAAATAAGCTTGAATAATTTCCACATCCTTTAAGCATTTTTAATATCAAAAGAAAAACTATTATAAGTGGTATAAAGTTAAAACTGGCTTACACCTTTTCCAGTTGTTTCAAAATGTGAAGAACCTTTTTATACCCTATTAAGGAAAGGCTGGAACATAGTTTCAGAGTTCAGAATGTAGACCAGGGTTTCATAAACTTGGCACTATTGAACTTTATGGCCAGATAATTCTTTCTCCTCCCCCTCCCCCTACCCCTCCCCCTCTCCCTTCCCCCCCTTTCTTCTTCTCCTTCTCCTTCTCCTCCTTCTCCTTCTCCTTCTCCTTCTCCTCCTTCTCCTTCTCCTTCTCCTTCTCCTCCTTCTTCCTTCTTCCTTCTTCTTTTTGTGGAGAGGGACTGTCTTATATATTGTAAAATACTTGCCAGCATTCCTAGCTCCTGGCTTCTACCCACTAGATACCAGTAGCATCCACCCCATTCCAGTTTTGACAATCAAAAATATATGCAGACAATGCCAGATGTCCAAATCATGTGGTATGTGCCCTGCATTAGGTGTATTACAGTTTATGAACTCAATCTCTGTATAATCCAGCATGCAATTTCTCTCTAATTTCTTTATTAAGCATTTGGTAACTTTTTTTTATATTAAGAAGCTATTATTTTTCCCTCCTACTTCATTAAAGTAATGTCCAGTCATCAAGTGGTACAATGATTTATGATAACACTAGGGCCTGGCATGGTGACTCATGCCTATAATCCTAGACCTTGGGAAGCCGAGGCAGGCTGATGCTTGAGTCCAGGAGTTTGAGACCAGCCTGGGGGTGATGCATGCCTGTGATCCCAGCTACTCAAGAAGCAGAGGCAGGAGATCACCTGAGCCTGGAAAGTCAAGGCTGTAGTGAGCAATGGCAGCACCACTGCACTCCAGCTTGGGTGACAAAGAAAGACCCTGTCTCAAAAAATAATAATAATAATAGATAACATTAATAATGAAAATAAAAGCAAAAATAATTTGGCTAACAGCTTGAAAATTAAGAAATGACTATTCAATTAATTCTTATGTTTTCTTTTTCAAAGTAACTCACCTCAATGATCTCATCTGTGAAATCTAATACCTGATTTAATTCCTAATAAATATTGTCAGTGAATGAATAAATTCTGACTGTAAAAGTAAATAAATGTGTTATTTTTAATTTTTATAGATTTGAGAATTGTGGAATTTTCATTGTTATGCTGGAGGTAATTTTGAAAACTTTGTTGAGGTCTACAGTTGTATTTGTCTTCCTTCTTTTGGCTTTTGGACTCAGCTTTTATGTCCTCCTGAATTTACAGGTACATCAGTAGTTGATTTTGTCACTGTGAGTTATGGAAATATATATTTATACTTAAATATAAACAGCCTAGAAAATTCATAATTACATAAAACAGTATTTGAATAGTTTGCTACTTCTTTCAAATGACTTTTATTGGAAAGAAAAAGTATAGTTTTGTTAAGTAATTTTGTCCATTGTAAAAAAGTTCATGTGCAATGCAGATGATTTATTATTTATGCAGATAACATATTTTTGATAAATTTGCCACTGTTTATTAATATTTTATCACTGCATTTCAGTAGCTATATACCTATGACTTTTACAAAGTATTCTGAATATAATTTTTATCATTCTACCTCCAGGAAACACTTTTCATGGTATACACTTTGCATTTCATTTGTACCTCACCATCTGTTTTCAGGATGCCTACAGCTCTCCATTGCTTTCAATAATCCAGACCTTCAGCATGATGCTAGGAGATATCAATTATCGAGAGTCCTTCCTAGAACCATATCTGAGAAATGAATTGGCATATCCCGTTCTGTCCTTTGCACAACTTATTTTCTTCACACTATTTGTCCCAATTGTCCTCATGAATTTACTTGTAAGTAGTTTTTTATTGTATTGTCTTTTGTCAATCATTTGAAACATTTTATAATGATAATTATTTTTAACTTCTTTAATCTCCCTCCACTGGGGAGATGAGAAAGTGTCTACTATCTATTCATTCAACACTCATTTGGTGCCTGGGGAGCACCAGGCACATCAAGAGGCTCAGGGTGTGCAAAGATGCCTGCACTTGGCAAATACTGAGAATCTATTAAATGCCAGGAACATTTAGTAGATTACTATTACAAGTTCTGTGAAACACTTATAAAGAAAGCAGACCAATATTCAGTGCCAGTGTGATTACCAACTAGTCAGGAAGTTAGGTAATAAACAAATAAATATGTAGCATAACGTTACCGGGGTGACAAATGCTATGAAGAATTAGAAGCAGGAAAAGGCAATAAAGATGAAGGTGTGTGCTGCTTTGGATTTGAAGAGGGAGTCAGAGAGGTTAAGCAGAGACTTTTACAGGACATATTATCTCTATGTTCGAATTTACCATTGACAAGAGATTCAAGTGGGGAAGTCTCTCATGTAGAGGGATTCTGTGACACTCAGATGCCACCTTGAACCCAGTCAAAGCCTAGACACTATCAGCAGACATGAGAGTGCCCTTCCACGTGGAATTCTCTAGAGAATCTTCTCAAACCATGAGCATGTTGGTTGATGCAGACAGAGGTGCATCCCACTGCAGGCCCATGGAGAGCCCTTATTGGCATTTTTGTGCCTGTTTTTTCTTTATCCATTTATGCACATGCACATATTCCACACACTTTCCCTGAGTCCGACTATGTACCAGAGACTGTGCTAGGCAGTGTTTCTGGAAAAAATTATGCAGACTCGTAAGTATTTTGATCCACTTATTTGATACAACTCCAGAGTTTTATTTTGATGACCTAGAAATTTGGTGACCTAGAAAAACAAAGGATGGGACTAGGAATAATGGGGAATGACATAGAGCCCACATTCTTCTCTTATAACTGCTTATGTTTTGGGAGAAAATTGTCCAGAAGAGAATTTGGCTTAGCAGTAGTACAGGCTGGCCCCATGCTGAAGATCCACACATCCGGCACCCAGTGTGCATCTCTACCTGGTTGTCCTGGAGGAAAATCAAAACCAGCAGAGCCAAGAGTAATGTTATCTTTCCTTCAGAACCTCCACGGCCTCTCAGTAGAATCTCCCAGCCATCTTACTCAGATCATTGGCAGATAGTCTCTATTTCACTCTCCCGCTTTTTTCCTCAGTTCTTTCAATAACTCTTTGGCTTCCACATCTGCTTCCAGTTGGCTTGGACTGTCACGGTTCCTCATCCAAATGGCTGCAGCAGCCTCAAGAGCATCTCTACCTTATCTCACTGCTTTGTCTATTTCTTCCTACAAATGGTCATCATAGTGATGCTCTGATAATGAAAAACTAAATGTATCAATCGCACTTTTAAATGTTTTTCCATGCCTCTCAAAAGCTTTAATCCAGTCCAAACCCATCAGCATAGCAAGCCAAGGTCCCTGTGACCTGGATTTACCTGTATCTTACCCAACTCCCCACCATTCCCTGGATTTACTGAGAAATGTACACTCCCTGAGTGTACATTCCACACTTTCCTTCATGCTGCCTAGACTCTGTATGGGCTCTTTCTTTTCCCTCGAAAACCTCCCACCATGGGTTAATACTATGCTTTCAAAACAGTTTAAATATTATTTCTTCGGGCCAGACTTCCTTAACCACCACCCCCTTCCAATCACCTTACTCTATTAGGTGCTCTTTCCTTGTGTTACCATAGTTTTGAGAATACAACAGATAATAAAACCTTCCTAGATTATTGAAAAGATTCAATGAGGTAATAAAAGGCGTTTAAAACAGTACTCGGCACATGATAAGTGTTTAATAAATGTTAGTGACCATTAAAAGTTAATAATTGATCTCTTCTATGGCTTCTAAGCTCAAATGTCTTCAGAGCCCAGACAAGTATCTAAAATATGTGCAGCAGCAGGTATGAGATGGTTTTTTTTTTTTTTTGAGACAGGTTCTCAGTCTGTGACCCAGGCTTGAGTACAGTGGAGTGATCATGGCTCACCTTTGCTTCCACTTCTCAGTCTCAGCTGATCCTCCCACCTCAGCCTACCTAGTAGCTGCTACTACAGGTCTCACCACCATGCCCAGCTCATTTTTGTACTTTTGTAGATATGGGGTTTTGCCATCTTGCTCAGGCTAGTCTTGAGCTCCTGGGCTCAAGTGATTCTCCCACCTAGATTCTCAAAGTGCTGGGATTACAGATGTGAGATGCTGTGCCTGGCAGAGATGTTTGGTTTTGATGGGGCTCATTGTAAATTGGAGAGAACACCAATCTGAAAACTTGCAAGTTAAAAACCAAAACAAAATAATCCTGCCCAGCAAAACCTATTTCCTGACTATATCCAGTTCTAAGTGCTAGTTTGCAAGCCTTAGAATATAGTCTCCCACTCTTCATTCATTCTGTGACTGTTTTGCATACCTATTATATCCCCTGCTCTATATTTACTAAACACTGGGCATACAGTGGTAAACTTGACAGATCTTTTTCTCACTGAGTTTACTGGACTTTAAGCTCCTCAAGAGCAGTCACTGGCTTTTCCTTTCTGGTGCAGCATGCAAGATGCTGGCTCAGCAAAGGCAGGAATTAAGTGCCTGAAAAATAAATGTGTAAGTGAAATGAGCTAATTTCATTAGATGGAGTAGAACTGAGTTAACAGCTTCCCCTCACTTAATTCTATCTAGTCATAAATTTCTGTTTGCTCACCAGAGTTTCCACCACCCCTAGGGTATATCTTTTCCTTCTGAACATACATAAGATATAAAGAGGATTATTCTCTCAGGTTAGTATTCTTTCCATGTTGTCAAATCACACTTGTCTACCTTAGTTACTGAACTCCTGGAGTTTCCTACCATGCTGTGTGGATACACCCAGATGCATCTGATATCACATCATCCCTGTCCTCTCAAAAAAAAAACAGATTTTTATCTTAAATGAAATGAATTTCAGATTAATTTGTGTGTCTTAAGTTTTCATAACACTTAAGAGTACTGAACCTTGGAATGCGGCCATCCCTGTTGCAGAGGTATATAGGCCTTGTAGCTTTCTATAAGGTGTGTTACCAAAGTCTTCTGCAGCTCCTGCTACTAGATCATGTGTCCACTCTGCCATTTTAGCCACAGAGACCTTGCTGTGGTTTGAATTTTTATGTCCCATCCAAAATTTGTATATAGAAACCTAATCACCAAGAAGACGGCAGTAGAAGGAGGGGCCTTTGGGAGTTGATTAAGCCCTGTGGGGAGAGCCCTCATGAATGGAATTGGTTCCCTTGTCAAAGGGGTGTGATGGAACTTGTTAGCTCCTTTGCCCTTGGGCCATGTGGGAACATACAGAAGGTGCCCCCTTTGAGCAATGGGCTCTCACCAGAAACCAGTTCTGCCAGAGTCTTGGTATTGGACTTTCCAGCCTGCAGAAATATAAGCAGTAAATTTATGCTATTTATAAACTCTCCAGCCTAAAATACTTTGTTGTAGCAGTCTGAGTGGACTAAGACAGAACTCACAAGCATTTTTAGGTGGGATGTTAAACTGTAGTGATTAAATTTTGTGTCATACTTCAGATTGGTTTGGCAGTTGGTGACATTGCTGAGGTTCAGAAACATGCATCACTGAAGAGGATAGCTATGCAGGTGAGTACAGTGCTTCCCAACTTATGAGAGTGTTATGCTCTGGTAAACCCACTGTAAGTTAAAAATATTGTAAGTCAAAAATGGGCATTTTGTAGGAATAAGCCAGTTATAAATTTAAAACACTTACACTGTAAAGTATGGGCTGTTTACCTTCCTGATCTGGGTTCTGTGGCTCACTGCCACTGCTGGGAATCCCAGGAGAGTACCACATACCTAGCTAGCCCAGAAGAGATCAAAGTTTAAAATTTGAAGTACAGATTCTAATGATTGTGAATCAATTGACACTATCATGAAGTCAAAAATCATAAGTCTAACCATCCTAAGTTAGGTATTGTCTGAATTACATTTATTTAAACTTACTGAAATTACCACCATTATCATTACTTCCTTTTCTGAAAGCACAGTTATTGAGCATGGATGCTTCCTCCATCCTAAGGAGTCACATTCTGTGTCTGTTTGTATGTTATCTGGTATACCTGCTCTAATCAAAGATGATGAAAAAAATATCCTGGAACAATCATAGCAGAGACATTGAGAAATTGCCTGAGCATCTTTTGTTATGTTAACACGTAGCCAGCCAGGTAGCTAGCAGCTGGATCAGGAGCATCACTAGCATCCTAGCACTTCTATTCGAATGAGCTCCTTATATTTTGTGCAGGGAATCACAGGGTCCCCACAGCATGCTTTATGTTGAAGTTTTAACTGCATCCATGCAATGTTGTTGTCTTGTGACATCTATCCTTTTTATAGGCATTTAGATGCAAAATTTGGTGTCAAAGGTTCCTGGCTAGGTACTTGGCTATTGAATCTTTTGAAGTACTTTTCTGCCATACAACACAAAGTTATTTTCATGCTCTTGACTGGATTGTCTTTAAATTTCAAATTCAAATGGACATATTTGAGGCTTCAAGGATATCTGGTGACCAGTTGACTATATGCATTCAGAAACTTTGGCCAGTTTGAGAGACAGAAAAATCATTTTACTGTGTAACTTTCTATTCACTCTTGTCTCCTCGTCACTTTTATGTGTCACAATTCTTTCTTCTCTGCTTTTTATATACCCCTTTGTATCTGATGTATAGATATGTTTACTCTAACTACTATATAGTGAGATTTGCTTCCTAAGACCAAATATTTTTCAATAACTGAGCATTGATGTGATTTATAGCCATAAATAGTGAAATGGTAAGAGTTTTCCTGACACCACTGCTTAAAATTGTGGCCCTTCCCACAGCCCCCTACATGAGTTTTCCCCTATGTGGCTTTCTTGCTGTTTTTATAGCACTTAACACCATTTAATATACTGTGTATTAGTTCCAATTTCAGGAAAAGCTATGTTTTTTTGTCTTATTAATAATACCAGTTAAATATTTTCACTGATTTTGTAAGATAATTTCCGGGGTTCCTTTATTACCGCTGGCTCTTTAAGGTGATGTTACTTTCCCCTTCCCATACATATAGTTTTAGAGGTTGGGATTTAACGGGACATAAATATTGTCCTGAAAGGAGGGGCCAGCAGGAACAAAGGGCCACATCAGAACTGGGGAAAATGGCCAAGGCACTGGCCCAAGGCCTCCTTTCCTGGAAGGATCATTCATGTTAATGGGTGATTATATTCCTCCACATGATGGGGGGGGGTTATTCAAAACCAGCAGAGAAAAATCTTAGCAAAGGGCAGTAAATGATGAAGCGCTTCCAGCTATTTTGTAAATTAGTGGAGAGTTAGCATTAGCCCTTCCACAATGAACATGGTGTTTATAGTGATCTGCTATTATCTTGGTTTAGAGAGAAAAGATCGAAGGTAGGAAGAGCTAATGACAGGCTATTACTGTCAAAAAGATGGTGGTCAGAACTCCAGGTAGGTCATATGGAGAGGGGATGTATTTCGTGGCAGGTATGTCAGCAATACCTCAGAACTGCCCTAATAGCTCTTTAAAATAACTTGGGGAATAAACAGAAAGAATAATACAAGCAATAGCACCAAATAAATGTGTTGGGGAAGCCTGCTCAACTACAGTGTCGGTGGGGTTGAGCTGAAAAGCACAATCCTATATTGTTTACTCTGCTCCCTGAAAGTAAACAGCACAAATCCTAGTACCCCCATGTTATCTGTGCCTTGTTTTGGATCAAAAACCGCATCAACTGGAAAACCAGGAAGCTGTTCTCCTACTTCCCCTGAGTTGTTTCTTAAGCAACTCTCTGCATCCATTCTGAAACCTATATCTGAGCCTGCAGTAGAACTGCGAGCCGAAGGGGACAGGTAGCACACATTTCCTACAGCGCCATTTAGTTCTCTCATAGAATCATCTCAAAGGGAAGTAAAGACAGGCTTTGGGACAACATATGGTGGGAGATGTGTTCTTTACGGGGACTCAGTTTCTCAGGGGCAGGTGTCATGAGTATTTTGAGGGGCTTGAAGCTGTTTGGGTGTTTTTATTTTTTTATTTGTGTGCATGTGTATGTTCTAAATATTTATGAATAGCTTAAATACATAAGTCATACACTTATCAAATCTGATGATATACAATACGCTAGCACACAAAATAGAATCTACATTAATTATAAGCTTATATAATCCAAAAAATGGCGTGATCTGTTCATTTGGACCAGATAAGGTCCTATCTATTTCCCAAATTCTATGCACTTAAGTGGAAAGAAAACAAATGTTCTAGGAATTTCCTTTGTAATTTTTATTTTTAGTTTTTAATTCCTTTTAATAAAATAAAAGGAATTGGGTGTTTTTAAATTTGGTGTCTCCACTTTTCACCACAGTTTTGGCAGCTGTAGACAGTCCATAAACATTATATCCCCACTGCAGATCAAAAGGGAAATCCACAGAGTGCATCTTAACCTTCAACTTGGAAACCCCACCAGTTAGAGGAGGTAAAGATGCTCCCTGAGCCCAGTGGAGCCAGATTCAGTGGGTCCCACCAGACCCACGCTGGACGTGGGGCTTTGCTTGCCAACCTCTCCCAGGACCATATTTGAGGGACCTATGTAAATAATGAACAGGTTAAGACACACTATGTATTTTATCTGTTCGCAAACATCGAGCTTTAATAAATCTTTTTCAATCAAGTTTGAGGAAATAAGATTTGACCTCTAAAACTATATGTATGGGAAGGGGAAAGTAATATCACCTTAAAGAGCCAAGGGCAAAAAAGGATCATAGAAAATCAGTGAAAATATTTAACTAGTATTAATAAAACATACACAAAAACACAGCTTTTCTTGAAACTGTAACTAATATACAGTATATTAAATGGTGTTAAGTGCTATAAAAATAGCAAGGAAGCCACATGGGGGAAAGTCATGTGGGGGGCTTTGGGGAGGCACAATTTTAAGCAGTGGTGTCAGGAAAGATCTTACCATTTCACTATTTATGGCTATAAATCACATCAATCCTCAGATATTGGAAAGTATTTGGTCTTAGAAAGCAACTCTCACTATATAGTAGTTACAGTAAACATACCTATACATCAGACACAAAGGAGTATAAAAAAGCAGAGATAAATTTGGCAAACATAAACAAAAAGAGAATTAAATGAGATGAAATATCTCATTTACTATCCCCAAAAATAGTAGTTGTACTTAAAATTCATCTTAAATAAACCATTTTGCACCTGATAGCGACATGAAAAATTCATGAAATACTCTTAGGCATGGTAGTTCTGATTCTTTTACTGCTTACCTTTGTCTTCCTCCATTTAAGCACTCCTTTGTCTCTCCTGCCCTAGGCGTGTATGTATATATATATATATGTGTGTGTGTGTGTGTGTGTGTGTGAGTACACACACCCACACACACGTGTGCACATACACACACATTCACACGGTCCAGGTGTGCACATTTTGTAGTATTGCAACACCCCAAGTGTACGAACTAACCTTTTCTTCTTTAAAGCTCCAGCATTGAACAATAAACAGCAGGTGACTAAAACTGAATTCATTTTTAAAGCAACTTCCCCCTCTCCTTCTTCTCTGGCTCCAAGACAAATTGCTGCCTAGTACATGGGTGAGGTGAGACAAGGGGGCAGGTGACTGCGAGCTATGGGATAAGGAAACCTGGCCAGCCCAGCTGTGACACAGAAGTCAGGACACAGAAGTCAGTTTTCATTTTGCTGTAATAACGATTGCCTCTGTGCCATATAAAAATTCCGGATACTAATTAACGATTCTATCAATAAATCCAAAATGCGCTTTAGGTGGAGCTTCACACCAGCTTAGAGAAGAAGCTGCCATTATGGTTTCTACGCAAAGTGGATCAGAAATCCACTATCGTATATCCCAACAAACCCAGATCTGGTGGGATATTATTCGTAAGTACACATAACAACAACATCAGTAAAGTGACACTGTTTGACATTCATTCATTGTGTTAACCCTGGGGGGCCCTTTTGTAGACTTTGAGTCCTCTCTGCCTATGAGAAGAGAAATTGTGCTTTAAAAAGGAAAAGGCGTGAAAGAGCTAGGTGAGAGGAGGATGACATTTGCTCTCTGCTTTCAGGCATCCATAGCATCTGTGCTAAATACACACAGCATCTGTGCTAAATAAGAGCTGTCCCTGTGAGAGAAGGTGGGCGTGGGACAAGCCATACCCTTTCAGTGTCTTTTATACGGTATAGGTATACTTTATTTGCTTTTCCTAGTCACATGTCACTTACATTTATATGTAAATATATGTGTGTGTATATACAGTCAAGTGTTTGTAATACACAATAAAGAATACACATTTATACAAACACATATACACACTGTATTAATCTGTTTTCACACTACTACAAAGAACTGCCCAAGACTGGGTAGCTTATAAAGGAGAGAGGTTTAATTTATATGCAGTTCCGCATGGCTAGGGTGACTTCAGGAAACTTGCAATCATGGCAGAGGTGAAGGGGAAGAAAGGCAGCTTCTTCACAGGCAGCAGGAAGGAGAACGAAAGCACAGGGAACTACCAAACAATTATGAAACCACTAGATCTTGTGAGAACCCACTCATTATCATGAGAACAGCGTGGGGGAAGCCACCCCCATGATCCAATTACCTCCACCTGGTCTCTCCCTGGACACGGGATTATGGGGATTATAATGCAAAATGAAATTTTAGTGGGAACACAAAGCCTAACCATGTCTCACACACACGCACACACACATAGAGTGTCCACTATAGAAAATGAGCTAATTAAGTAATTAAAGACTAAGCAAGATCATTGCATTATAATGGAAGAGGGACCATATGAAGAGCAAGAATAACTGGGTGCTAATCCTTAGCATGCCTTGGCTCCCTTCATCTCTAAGACTGTTCTTCCTAAATTCTGTTCAGGTCAATTTCCCCTTTGTCGTCATAAAATGATAAAGTTGCCCTGAGTATCAGTCTAGGATTTATTCTAACCCCACAGTATCTCCATCTGATTTCACTCATGTCCGTGGTTACAATTACTACCAAAACACAGAATGCTTGGCAACTAAGTTCTCTATCCTAGAGCTCACCCTTGAGTTCCTGGCCCCTACATCCAGCTGCCTACTTGACATCTCCACTTGCATGTCTTAAAGGTGCCTCACATTCAGCAGGTTCAAAACCAAACTTCACTGCTTTCATGTTTAACCCTCTCCTCACATATCCTCTACAGGAAAAAAAGTATAAAAGTCCCGGTCCTTTTTTAAAGTTCCTCCTGCAACAATGTCAGCACTGTTCATTAGCCTGTGCAAGCCAGCCACCCAGGAGACATCCTAGATTTGTCCCCTCCCCCTCTTCCTCCTCTCAATCTGGTCCATTTGACTTCTTGGGTGGCCTGTGCAAGTCACCATTTTCTCTTGCCTGGACTCTTAGAATTACCTCATTCTTGATCATTTCACATCTGCCCTTGACCCTCTCCAGTCAACCTATGGTTTAAAAGATATTAAATTAAATCGGCCGGGCACAGTGGCTCAAGCCTGTAATCCCAGCACTTTGGGAGACCGAGACGGGTGGATCACGAGGTCGAGAGATCGAGACCATCCTGGTCAATATGGTGAAACCCCGTCTCTACTAAAAATACAAAAAAATTAGTTGGGCATGGTGGCGCGTGCCTGTAATCCCAGCTACTCGGGAGGCTGAGGCAGGAGAATCGCCTGAACCCAGGAGGCGGAGGTTGCGGTGAGCCGAGATCGCGCCATTGCACTCCAGCCTGGGTAACAAGAGCGAAACTCTGTCTCAAAAAAAAAAAAAAAAAAAGATATTAAATTAAATCAAAATGTATTAAAATAACATTCCAGAAATTTCTCCAGGTAAAACTTCATTGGTTGGTTGAGTTGTACTGGATAATGCTCAGTGCAGTTTTAGATAATTAACAATGAATCTCGTATGGAATACCACCTTCCATGATGGGCATTTCTCATGAAAATTTTATAAAAGAATTCAGCTAAGGCCCCTTCTAAATAATTTCCTACCCTAATTTACTCCTCTTCTGTTTTATTTGTACATGTTTTATTTCTTTCTGATATGTACGACTTCATTTCATAGCTCTTTCTTCACATGTCTGTTTCTTCTGGCAAATTGTGGGTTCCTTGAGGGCATAGCTATGCCTTATGCATATTTGTACCAGCGGTGGTTGAGTTTTGGCACATGCTTAAGAAAAAGTTCCTGAACTGAATTCAATTTGAGTAATACTGGTTTTTTTTTAACCCACAGCATATATTCTTTTGTTTATTTTGCACTGGAGAAATAAGACAAGAAATACCAAATGCTGACACATCTTTAGAAATGGAAATATTAAAGCAGAAATATCGGTATGTATTTTTCTTTCTATCTGCACTTGAGAAATTTAAAAATCATGAATAATAATGTACAGTGTAAGGTCATATTTTATATGGGTGTTTATCTGTTTTATATATTAAGTCAGGCTTTATTGACAGCCATAGCTAGTATATTGAGTCATGAGACATTTTTTAGAACCAACAACATATTTGCTATTATTCAACAATCAGTTTGCCTTTCAATAGTAAGTGAATAAAAATTAAGATGCTGATTTCCTTTCTCTTGGAAGTAGTATCATAAACTGTATTCTTCATCTGAATTCATAAAGCAAAGCTCTGAAAGCTTTTGAAGATCCCTGGAGTAACTATGTGGTGGGCAGTACTCAAGCATGAGGGTTTTACAGTTAGTACGTGAGTTCAACCCCTATTCAACTAGGTACTTAATAACTGTGACCCTGGGCAAACTGCTTAACCTTTCTCTATAATAGTTTCTTATCTGTAAACTGTGAACAAAAATAAAGTAGCCATGAACTAACAGTATAACTTTGGGAAGCATTGTTTAAACTTAAAAAATATGTGATTCCTGAAAGGATATGACTACCATGAGGTTAAAATCTGTCTTCCTATGTTAAGGGCTAAAAGAAGAACTAAATATACATTCATGAGATATGTATGTCCTTTTAGGCTGAAGGATCTTACTTGTCTTCTGGAAAAACAGCATGAGCTCATTAAACTGATCATTCAGAAGATGGAGATCATCTCTGAGACAGAGGATGAAGATAACCATTGTTCTTTTCAAGACAGGTTTAAGAAAGAGCAGATGGAACAAAGGAATAGCAGATGGAATACTGTGTTGAGAGCAGTCAAGGCAAAAACACACCACCTTGAGCATTAACTTCTCAGACCTTCAGTGAGGCTTCCAATGGGGGGTGCATGACTTGCTAGTTCTAATTTTCAGTTTAAAAAGAGTGAGGAAGAAGCAGAAATCAATTGATTTCACTACATGTGAAATCATGGTTACTGCATGTTTAATAAAAGTAAACTATCTTTTATCCTCTATTCATATTTTCTACTAATCACTACGTATTGGGGATATCTTTGCAGATATGCTTAAGCTGGACTTGACTTTGATGAGAGATAATCTCATTATTTGAATAGGTAGAAGATGAATTTGCTAAAACACACATTTTTAATAAAAAGGAGTAATAAATGTAACTATTAAGCTAGAATGCAAATGTCAGTACTGAATTCCTGCTTGCTAATTATGCAATAGGTGATGCCCTAGAAAATAGTCACATTTGTGACTATTACACTTAGCAATGCCTTAGATGGTAGTCTTAAATATGAGGTTGAGGTCTACCAGTTGGGAAGCTTCTTCGTGTTGGAAGAGCCTGTGGGTGGCACCATGTGTAGTCTTTTGTTCATACTATGATGAACAACCCCACCCTTCTTGATGCCCCCAACACATCTGATGTCACTTTGAGCCATATAGATGAAGTACAAATTAACAGACCTATCATATGCATGAATTTTACTATAGATAATGTTGTTTCTGTTTTTGTTTGCCAATGAGCATAATAAATGTAAAATCTATATAGGATACCTGCCATTGTTGTATGAGCCTTTGTTTGGAGATTTGAAAAAAAGTGCCTCCATCACATATTCCCTCTTTTCTTTGATGTCTACTCAAATCATGAATTAATCGCATACCTCATCATTCATCTTTTCAAAGTCTTTCTCTTGTTTTGTCTGATATTCTCTATCATCCTGATTCACATGTTTATTCCCTCACTACACCCAGGAGACATTTACTCTAATGAATATGTCTTTGACTATGTATGTGTCCTTGTGTTATATTGGACACTGTTGTTTTGAGTTTGTTATTACTTACACAGATGTTATTATGTTATAGCTTTTATTTCTGTCATATTCTCACTTATTTCTTATATTTTTTACTCATTTCTGTTTCTTACTGCTTTTCACTGGACATGATGTTTACAAGATACAACTGTGTTACCATATTCCATCTAGTACAGGGCCTTTGATGTGGCTTACTATTTCATTGTGTAGCTACCACACTGGTCTTTTCTAGAGATGGACAGCTTGGTTATCTCCACCTTCCTGCACACATTCTCAAACATACTGACGTTCATACAAACCAGCAGAGTGCTGAGGGACAGTATGCACTATTACAAAACCAGACATTTTTATATTCATTGTCCAACAGACCAGATGGCCTAGAGGCAATGTTGTATAGGCCTTAATCTTTGATACAAATAATATCTTTGTTCTTTATATTTCTTAAAACAGAAAGGCTGGAAAATCACAATACAGGATCAATGGCCAAAGATCTCCTGATCATAAAGACAAATGGTCTTTTCAGTCCTCACTCTCCTCAAACTTTGGCTAGCACTGCACAGTATAGATCTCAGTCCAACATTCACCAAGTGCTAAGAATGTGAGAAACACGGTACCTACCATGCCTGTTGTGGGAAATATTTAAATAAACATATTGTCTTACAACAACCTCACTCTCAAGAAGCTTAGAATTTAATGGGTCTTCATTCATTTTCTGCAGTTCTTTTGTCCTTTACCCCCAAATATGGAACTGCTTTTCCACTGTTTCCACTAATTGCTTCTTCTCTCTTTCCCCACTGGCTTCTCTTTCCTGCCGACTAACTCCATGTGTCCCTCCCTGAGGTCTGTGTCGGCTCTGTTTCCTCTCTTTCCTCTCTTCTGTCGCTTCTCCTAAAGTCCAGTCCAACATTTCTACAGTTCTTCAAATTAAATACATATAAATCTGAATTCGGTGGTGAGAGAAACAAACCAGCTCCTCCAGATTTCCAATTTTCCATCAGTGGTACCAGGATTCTCTCAGGCTCCTAGACTCTAAAGGAGTCAACACACTAAGTTGATTTAATCTTCCTAAAGCAGAGCTCTAAGCCTTCCCACCCATGCTAAAAGCTTAAAGGTTTTCTCTTTCTTCATAAATAACCTAATCTTAACCTGCCTTCTCAATCTAAATTAGCCTTATCTTCCAGTATTCTTCAGTTCATCCAAATTAGAAGACCATTTTTTCATGAAGACACTATGATTTTATCTCACCACCTCCAACTCGACTCTCTTCCAGGCAGAATGTCCTTGCTCCAGTTCTTAAACCTCAGTTTAAACGGCATCTACACCTTGAAGTTGTTTCCTAATGCTCCCCACTCATTATGCTTCCTGCCTCCTCAGAACTCGCACAGACCTTACTTCTCCTCTGGTACAGAGGTGACTGTGACTTACCAGGCCCTTCCCCAACTAGAGGGTAAACTCCCTGAGCTTTATGGTTTATTATCACCAGTACTCTCAAAGGAAGCAAATAATTACATCCTATTTCTTTTTTTTTTTTTCGTCTTGTGGAGCTTCTACACTGTGCCTTGCACATAACAGATGCTCAACAAATACATATACACAAAAAACAAAAATCAGTGAAAATAAATACATAGACCAGAAAGAGACTGCAAGAAAACTAGCTTAGTATGCCTCAGAAAAAGTAGTTTAGTGTTCTTTTTCTGTTGGTTCTCTGTCCTAAAGAAGTTGAATGATTTGCCTCTAAGTGGTGGAAGAAGCATTAAACATCACTTTTCTGCCTTTTTCTTCCCACTCCTTCAATTAGGGCTATTGTTTTAATGATTGTTACCTACGGTTAGCATTGGCAATTGAAAGGTTTGTGCTTTGCAAGAAGACAACTTGTGCCTTCATACTGACTCTACTTCCTTTTGGTTGACTGACTCTGGACATGTTTCCTCCTCTCTAGAATGGTGATTATAGAATATATTCTTTTTGGTGTTGGTAGAATTGGACAATCACATGCCTACAGAGTACCTAACTCAGTAAACACTATTGCAATATGTTCAAGAAAACTGATTTACCTGAGATAAAGGGGATTACAAAGCACTAGGATTTTCACATTATACCAATTACCCATGGAATTTCTTTGGAGGTTAATTAATTAGTAGCCTGATATAAACTGAAGCTCCCAGATACTTCTGAATCCCATTAGCCAAACAAATCCTGGAATGTGTATACTACAATAAAAACTTTACATTTAGATAAAATTTTGATTAAAATATTTCAGCACTTTTGTCATCTTTATTTTTGCTTTAGACTCAAATCATCAAACACTGATGGAGTACCAACTCCATGCTAGTCGGAGTGAATCATCACTGAATATTTTTTAACCGTTTTGCACATTTTGATGTGAGCAGATTAAATAATAGCAAAAAGAAAAGGCTTATGAGGTTTACTGTGTATCAGGCACTGTTCCAGGTACTATGTACTAACTCATTTGATTGTCAAAACGTGTATATGATAGGTGCTATGATAGTTATTATTCTTGTTTTATAAAACAAATCATGACACTTCTAGGCTGAGTAGCTTGTTCAAGATAATATTGCTGAGATGTAAACTCAGGCAGTCTGCTTCTGGATTTTGTGTTCTTAACACAAAGCTATACTATCTCTTAAATAAAAATCAGGTGAAAGAGCATCCTTTCTTTGTTGACTTTATACTTAAGAGGTTACTGAGTGGATATTTGCAATATAACATTCATAGATAAGTATATTTGAAGGTTAAGAGGAATGGGACACTACAAACATAATGAAAACAAGTGCACAGGCATTGAAGTCAGGAAGCCTGAGTCATAGAAAGTCTAACTGCTATCTCACTGTGTGACTTCGTTAAGCAAGATACTTAAAACTCTCTAGTAAATGGGGCAATAAGAGTACATACCTCCACGGGGTGCAGTTGCTCATGCCTGTGATCCTAGCACTTTGGGAGGCTGAGGCGGATGGATTACCTGAGGTCAGGAGTTTGAGACCAGCCTGACCAATATGGTGAAATTCCGTCTCTACTAAAAATACAAAAATTAGCTGGGCATGGTGGCATGCACTTGTAATCCCAGCTACTTGGGAGGCTGAGACAAGGGAATAGTTTGAACCTAGAAGGTGAAGGTTACAGTGAGCTGAGATTGTGCCATTGCACTCCAGCCTGGGCAACAGAGCAAGACTCTGTCTGGAATAAAAAAAAAAAAAAAAAGAGAGAGTACATACCTCATAGAGTTATGCTAAGGATTAAATGAATTGATGTGGGTAAAATGCTTGGCACACAGCCAGCACTCAGTAAATATTAGTATGGAATACTAAATCATTTGCAAAGATATGAAAGAAAAATCATTTATTTATAGCATTTTGTTCTTTTTATCTAGACTGAAAAAAGTAAAGACTATACAAAGACTATCTTAAAAATTAAGCCATCACATCACATTTCAAAAATATTTCCCAGTTTGGTTCCAAAATTTCTCAAACACAATTTAAATCATGTACTTGATATGACTTCACTATTTTTATGATACCACGAGTGACATTTTGTAAATTGTAAAAACTCAGACACACAAATTGCTTCTTTTAATATGGCTAAAATAGTCATTGCATACCTAGCTACTCCTGTTACCAGTCAGATATATTATTTCAAGTGACAGTGATTTATAAGAAGGCTATAAAAATAATACATCATTTGAGAAATGGGTATAAGCATTATTACTCATAAGAACTCCTCAAGTTCTCTATCTACTACATGCATTTAGGCAACACATTTATTTCAAATGCTGATTTTTAAAGCTGATGAGATTTAAATGGCAGTTTGGAAATTGGTCGCACCTCTCCAAAACAAAGAACCATTGGTCATGGAGGAAGTGATTTTTTTTTTAACCTATCAAAGTACATCTAAGAAATATTTAACGTTAAAAATCATTTAGCCAGAACATGCAGCTCATGCTGGCTCAGGGTCTGGGAGCTGGGGCCAGTAACCCCAGGATGCAGAGACTCAGGAGCACAGCCTGATATCAAACCCAGCTTCAAGATCCACCGTGCTAGAAAGGGGAAATTGCAAGAATTGGGAGCTGAAAAACTTCCTAATGTTGTTATGAAAATTTCACACTGAAACTGCTCTTGCCTGAAGGTACATTATTATCAAAGATGTTGTCAGACTTCAGACTTAGGATACAGTTGTTGACGGTACAGTTGAGTGAAGTTTAACCCGTCATGAAGTTTAACCCATCATGAAGCCACAGCGTGAACTGAACTGGGCTGATTCCTAGAATATGAAGCAAGTTGTCATGTCATTTCGCTCTGATTTTACCTGTTAGTTTTAGTGAAGTGATGGGAGAAGATAGAAGACAGGAAGATGTGGGATACCCCTTGCCATTTCTAGCTCCAGACCCCGAACAAAAGGTGTCCAGCATGTCTACAGGTTTCTAGGAGGCTGCGGCAGGAGAATCACTTGAACCCAGGAGAGGAGGAACTCGCAGTGAGCTGAGAATGCGCCACTGCACTCCAGCCTGGGTGACAGAGACTCCGTCTTAAAAAAAAAAAAAAAAAAGTAGTCATGATCCTGAACTGCAAATCAACAAGGACTCTGCTGAGGGAAGCAGCGTCCTCTAGGGGTGGGATTGATACAGAGCTGGAACCAGAAGACCTCATTGGCTGAGACCTCCCTGTATGCAGGAGGATCTCGCGACTTGGGAACACCTACAGCGACTTTAACCTATGGTTCTGCACCTCTTTCT